TATGGGGTACCAGAAACAAAGGGAGGTGAGAAGAAAGGGATAAAGGCATTGGAAAGAGAAAGGTAAAACAATGGGATGTCTTCACCTACCTTTAGCTCTGGTCCCACCTCTCGTCCAGGAGCACCCCAGACAGCGTATCTGCTTCTTCAGTGGGAGTGCAACCCCATCCAGGGCAGGCAATTGACCAATTTCTCAAACCCAGGACCCACCCTCCCACAGTGCCTCCATCTTGTTGGGATTCAAGCTCATCTAAAGCTCATTCAAGCTCATTCAAGCTATTTTCCCTCATCCATCCCACCACTGCATCCAGGGCCCACACAGCCTCTCCTGATTCAGATGTTATCAAGAAACAGAGCTGAGTGTCACCAGTGTGCAGATGCCACCTTGCCCCCAAACTCCTAATGACCTAATGTTACCACCGAATAGGGCCAAGAAATGTGAACCCGAAACAGTTCATTGGCATGATTAAATAGTCTGACATGTTTTGAGTAACTTCGTTGGGTTGGGCAAGCAATGGCAAGTTCTTCTATAGAAAAAAGAAAGGTGCTTCTAAAACATTGACACAGCATGCACTCCTTTGTCTGAGTTTCCTGGCTTAAAAAGAAGTGGAATCATCATTATTCCCTCTAGTAAATCCCCACTCTCTAGACCCCCACCCCCACTATACCAATAAAGCACTCGGTTCTTGAGGCTGGGTTCTCTGGCATTGTCTGGCACTGGGAGGGGAAAGATCCTTTATCCTTTCCCACCTTCTGAAACCTTCCATGCAAACCCTGAACAGCATTCCAAAGCTACTGTTCCAGCCCAGCTGGAGCCGTGCACAAGACAATTCCTGTTTGGGGCTGGAGCTATTTGTCTTACTGGTTTCCCCTTGTATATTCATGTTCTTAAAAGGTTCGTGAACAGTATAGAAGGAAAGCTGTGTCCTCCTTGCTCATCTTCTACAGAAATAACTAATGGGTGTCTGCACGCATTAATGTGAACACAGCTATAAAAGCAATCAACAGCTGGAGTTGGTTTGGCAAGTTTGTATTCCACCCCCCACCCCATGTTAGAAAGATTCATGTGTTAGATTCCTTCAGTACTCCCTGGGGTTCCTTCCCTGCTCTGGGTTAAAGACTACAGAGGAATCACTCTCAGTTAAAGCTGACTCAGCAGCCCTCTGTTCATTCCTTGGGCAAGACTCCACAAACATAACTCAGAATCATTTCCTTCAGGGTCTCTTTTAGTGTTACTTCCCTTAAAGGTTGCCCCGCAACAGCTGTTCAGCTTCCCCACAATTCTTTCCGCTAGAATCTTACTCAATGTTGCTCAGGTTTAAGTTTTGCAATAATATTACCTGTGACAACCAGTCATTGGTCAGGCTGGGGCTACTACCCCTAAACCTCTTAACTGTGGCGTTGTTAAGTAAATTGGATTACTCCAGAGACAGAATGACTGAGGACTGTGAAATGCAGGCACTATAGCATATCTGTATGTGGTCTTGAAACATCTTGCAGAGAAGGGTGGAATTAAAAAGAAGACTACTGTCACCACTTAAAAGAGAGGTGATTAGGATGCTGTGTTAAGGGATTTGCCTGAAATTGTGTGATCAAGCTGAAGGTCTAAAGAGGGCTTTTAAGTGTGTTCTGTTAGGCACACTTAGAAACCTCCCTTCCAGCAAGAATCCTGGCTTACTGGGATTTCCCATTTGGGGGAGAGTTTCTAAGTGTTTTCAGTAGAAAATAGAACACACTTTTTCCTTGAAGAAAAAGTGGGATATAAATGTAACAGATAAGCAAACAAATGAAGAGCAAATACAAGGGGGGGGTATGGAGATCAGTAGTTTAAATGATAACACTGATAAAAATGTCAACATAGTAAAAAGGGAGAACAAAAAAAAAAGCTTATCCCAGCACTAAAAATGATTACTATAGGTTCCAGATGAGCCTCTTTAATGACACCTTCCCCCACTGGAAGACCACCATTGAAAAAAGCCTCTCCCTCATAGACCCTCTCTGTTATGTCAAGAGTGAAGGAACACTCATAGAATGGCCTATGTTGATGATCTTAAGGCCTGTGTAGATACATATGGGAAGAGTTGATCCTTCAGATCCAGGAGAACTGAAGCTGCGTAAAGATTTATAGATCAAAACCAGCACTTTGAATGGGCTCTCCCTGAGAAGGTCAGAAAAGGCTAAACTACAAACCCCTAATAAGGCAGTCTAACCTGATGCACTGAGGAACAGCGTGAGTTTACACTACATAGAAATAAAACAGAGCCTTAGCTTATTACATCTAATGGATACCAACACAGAGCTTAGAGGAGCTTAAAGAGGAACACATGTAAAAAGATTTGAAATGGAACGTAAATGGAGCCACAGCTTCCTTTCTGTTTCAGAGTTAGTTCCTGGGAATTCTTAAAGGGGTTGGCAAGCAACCTCCCTTGATTCCACTGCATTATGGGAAATATTAAGTCCTTAAAATTAGCTGGCAATTCAAAGAGGGAAATGAAAGGACTGGCAGGAGGTGTATAATATTCCTAATTAACATGGAGGGCTAAATTAAATGACATTTGTGAGTGAGAGATTATTTATGAATAGGGAAGGCACCTGTTCATCCAGTTTCAGCATCTACTGGTAAAGAGATCACGTCACCTGACTGGTTTTATTAACCAGGCTAACCAAACTTTATATACTCAGGTATATTGAGATGTCCAATCTCAGTGTTATGTACTGGACATTTTTTTCCATTTGTTTATAGGTTTTTATTGAATTTTTAATAGAAACAAGGAACACCATCAAACAAGACATAACAAACCACAATAAAACAAAATACTTACTTTATAGGAATATGGGGAGTGGAAGCAGGCAGTGGAATGTGTGGCTGGCAGTGCAGACCAACCCAATGTGTTCATTCATTTATGCAAACAGATCTGTACATGGAGTCCCCATGTCTGAAAGTTTTCCATCTTGCTTGTACTTTTGCTTCTCACAGTCATGTTTGTAATTAATTGTCACGCCTTCTGTCCATTGTACAATCAAACTTAAATATGCATACCTTAATTCAGGTCAAGGTGTGCATGCACAAAAGTAATTGTACAATGGACAGAAGACGTAACAATTAATTTTAAACATGTATGCCTTGACCTGAATTACTACATACGAGTGAGTAATTTTTAGGTGGGAGCTGTTAACTTGTACTTCAAGCAACAGTTTCCACTGTCGTATATTAAGTTGCTTTCAATTAATGGTTTCAATAGTGGTTTCCTATGCTACGTGATAGGTAAGTGTTAACATTAAAAGCATATTCAAATCACATGCTTAGGACTAGTCATACCTCAATGAAGCAGCCATCGGGGCTCCCAATCTGGGAGCTCCTTGGAGAAAAAAGTGGGATATAAATGCAAAAAATAAAATAAAATAAAGTTGAAGAAGTAGACTTCTCTGTAGGAAAACTGAATTTATGTATTAGATTTCCTCCTTTGTTCAGCCTATGCATTTGTAAATAAACACAAACATTAAAAAATACTTGAGATACTTGCCAGGTATGTCTCTTTAAGACACACCTCTCTGCAACTCCTCAACCCATGTCCAAGCTGGGAAACCACATAATTCCCACTGTTATGTACTGAAGTTCTCACCCTGGGCCAGCAGGGGGATACTGTAGATAGTTATGCAAATGAAGGATCGAAAGTGACGTTCAATGATTGGATAGTTTGTATGCAAATGAAGGATCGAAAGTGACGTTCAGTGATTGGATAGTTTTAGAAAGTTGCAACAGTTAGGTTGTTCTGGAGCTCTATATAAGCAGGCTGACTGAGCTCCTCAGTTCAGTTCTGTTCCAGCTTACAAATAAAGAGCTGCTTTGGAAGAATCGCTGTGTCGTCTGATATGTTCGCCCACAACTTAACACCCACCATTCTGAGTATACAATCTGAGCAATTCTTTGCCAGGAAAAGATGGTCAATCTCTTTTTGACACCTTGATCAACACAGGTCCTGGCAGGTGCCTTTCCTGACTGTGCAACTAAGCCCACTGGATACACCTTGCAATCTGTCAGTCAAAGCCTCCTGACTAAACAGAATCTAAATATCAAAATGGTGCCAATATTCAATTCTCCCTCACTTTTGAGTTTCTAAAGATACTAATAGATGATAATAAATAATACATTTTTATTTATACCCCACCATTCCCGGTCCAGAAAACCGGGCTCAGGGCGGCTAACAACAAATTTAAAACACTTAATTGATGCAACAAAAAAACGGCATAGAATACAGTATAAAACGTGAATAACAATAAATTCAGAATTCAAAAATCAATTTAGGGAGAAAATCCATCCAATAAACATTAGATGATTACCAGGGCTAGCTGGCTAAATTAGTCCTATTTGAGCCAGCGAGGAGACCAGGGGAGAATTAGCTGTGGGATCCCAGAGCGGGTAATCTTCATAAAAAGGGGAGGGAGAGGGAAGGAAGGAAGGGGAATAAAAGATCAGGCTAAGTTCAAATTGAAAGCCAGGCGCAAAAGCTCTATCTTACAGACCCTGCAGAAGGAAGTTAAATCCTGCAGGCCCTGGTCTCATGGGACAGAGCATTCCACCAGGTCAAAGCCATCACTGAGAAGGCTACATGTCATTTCTACACTTGATGTGACCCTCCTCATGAATTGCACTTTCCCAACGAGTCTCCCATAAGTTAGCATGATCTTGTAATGTTTGGGCATCATCCTAAGGCATCATTCTATCTTTTTTCCTTTGGTCTCTCAAGCCAGCTTCCATTCAATTTGAAAATGTAAGTCATGGTTAAGCTGAGACATATATATATATTTGAGGTACATATACAGATGACAGCTTCAATGAGTAGGTGTTTGGTGTGGGGAAGCAAATCAGGCAATGTGCATTGGGCAGAAACATCCCCACTCCACCTCTGGTGTTTACAGCAATGACACAAAATGATGTGACACACAATGGGGAAAATGATGCCATTGCTTTTTAAACCATCCGTGTGTATTTAGCCTTAGAGGTGAGGAAGAGAGTGGTAGCTGAATGACCACTGTTGTGACTGACTGACTGACTGTTGTTACCTCATCCCAATGGAAACTGAACTTGGAAAAGTATTGAACTCTTGGAACTTCTTACTGCTTAGAGAATTGTGGTGCACTGAGCGCTATTGATATCACCAGGAACCAAACCTTTATTGTACAAAATGACCCTCTTACAGCACAATCCTCCACATGTCTACTTGGAAGCGCTACTATGTTCTATGAAGCTTACTCCCAGGTAAGTGATCATAGGTTTGTAGCTTTAGTTATCAGCCAAGCAATCAATGGATTCATAAATCTTTCTATGGCACATTGCCCTCACAGTTGTACTGCATGATAGGTCATGCCTTTGCAAATAGCCTTCCAGTTCATCCAGGTTTCTAATTAACCATGTGCATTGGATCTTTAGAATATATAAACGATGCAGCATTAACTTCATGTAGGCTCTAGCAGTGATGTGTTTTCATGTGTAGGTGTGTCATTAAAAGGCTTCCTTGAAGGACAACTTTGTGATGTAAACATAAGATGGGCGAGTCCTTAAATGAGCAGTGGCACCAATGCATTATGATAAGCTAGTTGTTTGTTTACAGTTCTCTGTCCTGGCAAACTGATGTCTTCAACTGCACTAGATAGAAGCTTGAAATAATTCTGCTGCACAGGCAGAAGCAACACTCGGAAGTTGACCACAGGCCAGCAAACGTCACAATAAATCCAGCAACAAAAAGTGGTCCTGGAGACAGCCCCAAGTGGTGTCAAAAATTCCCTCTTGTACCCCAATATTCCTACACTATTTGGGGAGTGAAGTCCTTGGTTGGGCCACCCTCCTGAAGTCAAGAAGTATATTTTCTTCCTTCTCTGTGGTTGGGAGATGTTCTTCAACCCTATCCACCGCTGACGGTTTAGCCACCTGTCCAGAGAAATATCTGTTGCTTGACTTTTGCTGCGTTATTTGGCATAGGCATAGTAAACCATGTATAAACAGCTGCTGAGGCTAAGCTAGGAAGTAGGAAGGGAATAGAAACACCTGTGTGAGGAAGTCGTAGAACATGGCATGCTGACACCAAGAGGCAAACTCCACCCATCTGTTTCAGTGCTACAGATTTTCTCTGGCTAGACTTGTTTTAAAAGTGTGTCATGGTGTAATTATAACATCCTTGTGATCTTAAGCCTTTCCTTTCAAGGTATACTAAATGGCAGCAGGCCACCAGGGATTATTCAGGATATGGTAGACACCTAGTAGAACAAGATCTGGTAGAACAAGGAGGATGCTGTTTTTCTTCAGCTTGGCTTGTTGAATTAAGTCAATAAAACCAGGGCATGAGGTACCAATAAAGATGATATATACCATCTAGCATAGATTTGTGCATACATATACTGTATATATCCAACTGGATCTATGAGAGTTGGAGCATCATCCTATACATGCTTTCTTGGATGTAAGTCCCACTGTGTTTGATGCAACATTTTCAATTGCCCAGGGGACTGAAACTTGAAGTGATTTGCACATTTACAGCTATTTTATGATTTAGCATATATTATGCTGAAAATTAGGTAAAGAGATTTTTATAGTTTCTCTTTTCAAAGTGACATTTGTGCACAAAAATATCTACAACCTGTAAAGGGGGGAAATCATAGCTACCGTCAAAGTGTCCCAAAGTGTACATGCATAATGGTAACAACATTTCTTGAGAAACTAACAATACAATTCTATGCATTTTTGAGAACAATTAACTTTTATTACACGGTCACAGAACTGATGAAAACAAATTGAAACTCAAAAGTCATAAAACTCCAACAATTATACAGAAACAAACTAATATACAATTAACCTAAGAAAATCCTTTGCAGCAGAAAAAAGGAATCTAGCAACTGTTACTGTTATTATTTTATTTGTGTCAGCCAATAAGTAGGCCAATTTATAATTCACAAGTCCTTCCTGGATATTTTAGTAGAATGGGAGTGAAAAATTTGTTTCACCCATCTCTGGAAAAGTACCATTTGAAAACAACATGTCTTAATGTTTCTATTGCTCTATTCCAGGCATAGGCAAACTCAACCCTCCAGATGTTTTGGAACTAAACTCCCATCATCCCTAGCTAACAGGACCAGTGGTCAGGAATGATGGGAGTTGTAGACCCAAAACATCTGGAGGGCAGAGTTTGCCTATGCCTGCATAGGGTCAGAGCCATTCAATATATGGAGTACCCAAAAAATTGCCACACAGTACAGCAGAAGGAGGACAATTAAATCATATACATGTTTACTCAAAAGTAAGCTCCACAATGCTCAAGGGATCCTGCTTCCAGGTAGGTATGTACAGGACTGCAATCTAAATGCATTTGTTAAACAATATATACTTATATATCATTTTCTAAGAACAATTGCAAGACAGCACAAAATGGAGAAAATGAAAATAATTAATGTGATAGGGAAGAAGAACTGCTTAGCATATTACAGGGATCACCAATGCAGCATTCACAGGCACCATTACCCCCTCTGGTACCTATGAAAGATCTTAGTAAACATCCACTCAAAAATATTTTGCTCTTCCTGCTCAGTTCCTGTTTGCACTGAGTCAGTTTCTTCTCCATTGAACATGTCCCTTAAACATGTACACACTTTACTGGAGGCCAGAATTGGACACCCACCCTCCCATCTCTTCTGAACTGAGGAGACGTGCAAAGAGCTTCTCTTTCTGATTGTGTGTGGTAGTGGCTGCCTTTTCCCTCATTGATGGGGCAGCTGATGGGGGGCATGTCCACACAATTCTGAAATCCTGTCTTTTTGTTTGATTTAGTCATATGCCACTTTTCCACAATGAGCTGTGTCCTACTGCAAACGTTCAAAGCATCAATATACAGAGCACTGGGAAACATGCAAAATACAGAAGATGACGGTTAAATTAAAAGATGACAAAAATCAACCATGTGGCAAAAACAGTATAAATTCCATATTACAAAAAAACCCTTGACAATCTAGTCTTAAGCACGTAAATACAAAGCAAAACAAGTCAACCAACAATTAAGTTTCTGGTACCAGTTTTGCTGTACTCCAAGCAGCCTGGCTTAAATACAGTTCAGAGGGTAGATGGCATCCGCTTGTTAAGATAGGGCAGGTATTATGCCATAACCCCATGACCCCGGCCTGGTTCCCACAGCACATTATCAAAATTCCAGTGTGGAGGCAAGCTGTCTAACAGCTTGTTATGTTGATGCCTTTTTTGGTGGCAGTAATAAGAGCATGATATGCAATCTCTGCAAAATAATACTTATAGTTCTATTGCATGGCATACAGAGCAGTTTCAGTTGAGGTGTACCAGCTTGGTGTGACCTGTTGGTTACAATATACTGTTTGTTTACTTTCTGCAACTGTGATTTTCTATTTGTGTGTATTTAGGTTATGAGATTTGGATCATTGTTCTTCCACTGGTGGGTCAGGAGTTCGAAACAGATCATGTAGGATATCCTGGCAATTGGGGGGTTGTGTATCCACACCTCCCAATGATGTTGTGGGTGGGTGTATACCAAGATCACAATCACTACTTCATTCTTGATTCACCTGGGGCATGTGTAGGGAGGAAGAGGCATGGGTAACCTAATCAAAGGGAGGGTTTTTAAATGTGTACCAAGTAACCACACCTTCACAGACCACAGAATCTAGAATTTATCTAGATTGAAAGCAGCACGCTGAGGACGAGCATGAGCAATTCTGGAATGAAAATGAATATTTTCGGGAATGAAATATTTTCTGGAATGAAAATAAAATATATTGCGCTACAAACGGGTCAGTATATACACACAAACTGTAGAGTCATGTTCCCTTAACATAGTTTAGCTAGACCTTTGCATCTAACCCATCAACCAGAGTAATTGAAGGGTGGTAAAGGGCTAGAATTCCTCCTGCTCTTCCAATGTACGCTTATAAGTTATGAGGAGATTCTGATTCACATTTGAGATAACAAACAGGAAACCAGGCAGAGGTAGTTAGTTATTATGAGTTATTTAAAGCAGACATCGGAGGTGTGATCTTGAATATGCACCCTCAGATTCAAATAACAGGAAGCTAGACTTTGTATATGTATAATGAACAATGCTGAGTTACAAACACTCAAATATACATTTAACTTCAGGCAAAATAATGTTTTCACTGCAGTTAATGCTGCACATGTGAATAATATGATGCATACCTATCCATCTTCAAAAGCCTGAAGGCTGCTTATTTACAAAGTTCTTATTGTCTAAAATAATTGGCACTGGAGCTCAAATCTGCTGGACGTCACTCTCTCTGCCCTATCATCTGGCCCTATCATCTCACTCTAGTTTAGCCTTCCACAACATGGTACCCTGCAGATATTTTGAACTACAGGAAAACAAAGTTGATCACTGGTGTGTTCTTGACAGCCTACTGACTGTCACAGAAGTGACTTCCACGTAATAGGGTATATGGCTACAGTGCATTGTATCCAATGTTACTCCTACTCCGAGTAGACACATTGAAAATAATGGATATGACTCACTTGGTTGGATACAACTGGTATAAACATGTGACTTCAGAGGTTATATCCAGTAGTGGACTTTGGGCTCTGAAATTTCAGTAGCAACGCTAAAATTTGGTGATTCCCCCCCACCTCTCATGCTCCATTCTACAGCATTGTAGTGGTGCCCCCTGCAGCCCAACACCCAGTGCTGCTGCACTGATTGAACTAAAACAGCTTCTGTTGTATCAGCTGCTAAAACCCTCTTGAAACCTATTTGCTAGAATCATGACAAACTGTATTTTTTGAAAAAGGGCCTTCGTATACCAATTCCATCATTTCAAATGTCATACCATCTCCAAGGTGATATATATCTGAAACAGGCCTACAATCCTTTCTTATCATTTCACTTCATTTCACAAATTATCCAACTCCCAACTGACAAAAATATGTATTTGCTGTTGACCTTAGCAACACCATTCAAAACATTTATGAGAGTCTTCTTTCAATACTGCAAGGTATTAATGTGCATATGGAATAATACTGTTGACTTCCAACAATTTTCACATTCTGAATTTCAATGCAAATTTCAGCCCTCTAGGTTCCCCGTCACTGAAAAAAAACCATATGCAGCCATGTTGGTCTATTAGGGAAAAAAGTCCAAAATAGTACAGCAGTACTATTTCCTGATGTTTTGTTTTAATAAATGTATTACCATATTGTGGATTTCATTTTGCACCTGGCACTCAGTAAACACCTCATTTATCTTTAGACCTGAACTTTTTAGCTCTACACTAGCATGTTGAAATGAATAACAACCTGTTTTTTCAGTCTCAGTATAAAGCCTATTGCAAGCATGACAAATGAAGGCAAGCTGACCTGTATATATGCTATATGTGGTTTCTACTTACACTGGACGAAATTTTGGTACTTTATGATCTTGATATCTGTGAAAGACTAATGTTCTATGGGTGCGATCATTTAAATTTTGTGCAAAAACAGGAGAAGTTTGAAAAATAATTTGGGGAATGTGCATGAACAAATAGCAGTAGGCAGAAGGCTCAAGCAGACAAGATGAGAGTGAAGACAAAGTCCTGCTGCATCCATGGAAGCTGCCAATCAGAGTTTACAATTAAGATTTATACCCCTCCCTTCAAGCATGCTATCTGGATGGCTTATCATAAAATATTAAAAGCACTGTAAGATAACTCATAAATAAAAATAAGCTAAACCTGGAAAATTGGTAAAAGTAGCATTAAAAATACTATCAAAACCATTAGAATAAAACAAAACAAGTTCACTTGAAGCTGGAAAAATCAGATTGGGCAGCAGGTGAGCCTCTAAAATTAGGGTGCCACAACTGACAATGTCCCTCTCCCTGGTGGGCTCCCACAACATCTTTAGATGGTGGAAAAACCTGGAGAAAGGCTTTTGATGATGATCTCAAACTATGGAGAAGTGCATTTGAAGCAGATGAGGTGCTCCTCATGGTCCCTGTGCAGGATGTTCATGGTGTGGGGCCACGTGGGTCTTTTCAGTGGTAGCCCCCTGCACATGGAGGTTCCCCTCCACGGAGGACCCCTTCTATTTACCGGTAGTTTCAGGCAGCTAGTTAAGGTACACCTTTTTAGGTGGGCATTTGGAGAGACCTGATCTGATAAATTGATTAGTTGCTGCTGCTTTTGGTAGATTGTTATTTAGTAAATTGTTATGCAGCTGTTGTTTATTTTAAAGGTTGTGTTAGTTTATTGACTTTATACATATATGTATGTGTATGTGTGTGCGTGTACACACACACACACTGCCCAATAAAACATCTAGCCTTTCCTTTTCTTGGGATTAATTCACCCAATCACCTACATGGGCTCTTTTTGCAGCTCCTTCATCTGGTTTGTATTATTCTGTTTTCTGTAATTGCCTTATGGTAGACAAGCTAGTGTATTGTCAAGTATTTTCAACAGCTAAAATAAAATATTGTTTCCTAAGTACGCCTGGTTGGGGAAAGTTTTGTTTTCTATTTGCTTATGCAACACAGCTGTATCATAACTAATAAAAGTAGTGATGCCTTGTGGTAGGTGGGCAACCTATGACCCTCCAGGTGTTGAGACATCCCTCAGCATCCCTGACTACCATCGATGCTGACTGGGGCTCCTGAGAATAAGGAGTCTGGGGTAACCCAAGAGCCACAAGCACGCGTCCCTGGTTCCACGAGGAAAATAGCAGGAGCAGCCACGAATGTGTGTGTGTTTTACATGAGGGCCCAGCAGAAGATGTGCCATTTATTCCACCGCCAGCCAAACGCCCTTGGCTAGGTACTCAAGGCGAACTGGGGCGGGTGAGGCGCTCCAAACCTCCCGAGTGATTTCCTAAGAGGCAAGCAACGGGTTAAAAGCGGGTTTAACCGAAACAAACGACCAACCGCACTACGTGCAAACCCGAATCGCCGCCTCCTGCCGCCTCCTGCCGCACGTGACAGCAAAAGCTACCCACTCGCCGCCTCCTCCGCGCCACCACCCGCCAATCACCAGCACCGCTCGCTCGCCCGCCCGCCTCCTCCAGCTTCCCTAGGGTCAGTGGGAAGAAAGACAACACTGCTTCCCTCTCCCCCCCGCCGCCCGCCTCCTATTATCGCGGGAGCCGTTTGGAGCTCTCGCGAGACTTGGCGGCCCCACTCTGCTCCCCCTTCCTCCCTCCTCCCCGCCGGCTGCGCTCCTCCCCTTTCCTCCTCCCTCCCCTCCTCTCTCTCTTGCGCCGCCGCCGCCCCCGCCGGATCTGTCTGTGTCTCTGCGTGAGGGGAGGGGGGGCCTGTTCGGCCCTGCGCACTGAGCGATGTTTGGCCGCCATCGCGGCGGAGAAGGAGGAGGAGGCGCAGGAGGCTGAGGGAGCCGCCACCGCCGCCGCCGCGTACAGACGGCCACTTGGGCCTGCCTCGCCTCAACCTCGCCTCTCCGCCCGCCCTCGGAGTGAAGGTCGCCGCCGCCTGAGGGGGGCTTCTCCCCGGCCCCGTTTCCCTCTCCCCGCCCCTCAGGAAAGGGGGGCTCCGCTCCCGCCGGGCCCGAAGATGTCGAACCTGAGCAAGGGGACCGGCAGCCGGAAGGACACCAAGATGCGGATCCGAGCCTTCCCGGTGAGTGAGGGAGCGAGAGGGACGTCGCGGCGCCGGGCCGGGACCGGGGCCTGGCAGCGAGACGAGCCGCCGGCCGCGGCCTTGCGTGCAAGGGAGCCCCGTCTCTTCGTCGCCCGACCTGGCTTGTCACAGGGGCGTCTGTGGGGCGGCGGAGGGAGCGGGCCGCGGGCACTGAGGGGAGGCCCTCCGGGGAGCCCCTCAGGAGAGGCTGTCAGCGGGCGGGGAGCCCAAGTTCCCGTCCCACGAAAGGGAGAGGCAGGTTAGAGGGCCCGGCGGCCCCCCCGCCGCCGCCCCAGGAAAGGGGCTCTGGGGAGATCGCGGCTTTTCCTTCGGGCCCTTGACAATGGCCTGCCTAGTACAGCGCCTGTTATTTAAATATTAATAATAATAATGATGACAATAAATTGCGTGAAGGTCTTAACAACACACATATACACACACACACTCGCCCGAAGAGTCCAACGTCATACTTGTTCTGTATCAACTTCAAACTTGTTGTGTTTTGTTTTTTTTTGTCTCGCCAGTATCAATAAATGAAGCTGAATATTGTAAGGATTTTGACACCGGACAGTTTTTATGACATTCCCCCCCCCCCCCCGTGGGGTTGTCATAAGGGGAGGGAGCATTTTCGAGGTGATTTGTACCGTAAATTACCTCATATCTTTCCTGACCGATAGTTGTTTGAGCTGAAGATTGAAAGCCAATGGACACCCAAGATGAAGGCCTGGGTTTGTTTGTTTTTTGTAACGTGTAAAGTTTTTGTTTTGTTTCTGACTTGCTGATTGCCAAAGTACTGGAGTGTTTATACACATACATATATGCTTAAAAGGAGATGTTTGGTTGTATGTTTTTTAGGCTTGAGCAAAAGTTTTTGTTGCGTTTGAGTCAGGAAACTAGTGGCAAATAATTGTTGCCTTCACAAAGAAACTGGCTCTACCTGTTTATGTGAATGAACTAACAACTGTCACCGTCAGCATTTGATCAACCTGCAGTTCCATTCTCAAAATTAAACTTGTATTTATATATTTTAAGTTATTACTGCCCAATCCTATTTACTCAGAAGCCCAATTGAAACCATTAGCGTTTTCTTCCAAGTCAGCATAGTTAGATTAGGAAAATTAACTCTGACAAAGAGCAACAAAACTTGCTTATTATATATTTACCCTCTTTTTCAGCTAAGATTGACTCCCTGAATGACAATGTAATAGATTCTGAAGATAAAGAGATCTGTGTTTTTAAATAAAGTGCTGTGTTCTTAGGAGCTGTTGAAAGTACAACATGTTAGTCAAGTTAATTTTGAAATGTCTTAAAGTTAGTTTTGGCTGCCTGAATAGCAGTGGGAGATGCTATCATGATAATCAACAATGACAGTTGCTTACAGTGTTTTACAATTATTCTCTAAGTAAAACATATATTACAAGTGTTTCTTGAAGCCTTTTAAATTTGGATGATGAGATTTATGCATCAAACACTTGGTTGTATATGGGAGTTGAACAGATTGAGAGAAACAAAGTTTGCAGTCAGGGTAAACATTTTTCATTTTCCTTTCTTGCAGATGAGCCTATAAAATGTTAGTGGGTGAAGAATGTTCACACAGCCTTCTCACACAAAGTAGAACATTGTTTCCCCTGTAAAAGTGTTTTTTGTTAGCAGTTGTCATAATTGTGGCTCATTCTAGAAATATATTTTAAAATAGCTATATTTAATGCCTACTTAGTTGGGAGGGTACATAGACATCATGAGCTGCAGATAATTAAAATAACCATTGTTAAAGCAAACTAACAGTAGTCTTCAACATTTTTGGACCTGGGACCAGCCTTTAACTCAAAGATGTATTTGGGGACCCATTTTCTTTGTATTTTCCCCCTTACTACATATGTGTGTTTGTGCATGTTTTTATATGTATGTATTGTGGTAGTGCTGCATTTGCACCCTACCTTGGATCAGACTGATCTGGAACTGAGTACAACCCACCAGTTGGAGCTGATTTCTAGACAGGTTTATTATATACAGTGGTACCTTGGTTTAAGAACAGCTTAGTTTATGAACAACTTGGATTAAGAACACTGCAAACCTGGAAGTAGCCGAACATGTTCCGCTTCCTGTTTAGTGTGTTCCATTTGTAAATTGAGTCCCTCACTGCTATGGGAAAGTACACCTTGGTTTAAGAACGCTTTGGTTTAAGAACAGACTTCCGGAAAGGATTAAGTTCGTAAACCGAGGTACTACTGTATATATAAACTGCCGTTCTTTACCATCCCACTTCCAGCAGCAGCAAAACAAAGCAAAAACAACAAAACCTTGTGTTTTTTCCTTGAGGCATACCTTTTCGTGTTTTGGCCTGGGAGGGGGAGCATATTTTTAACTCAGCTCTTTAGAATACAGTGGTACCTCAGGTTACATACGCTTCAGGTTACATACGCTTCAGGTTACACACTCCGCTAACCCAGAAATAGTGTTTCAGGTTAAGAACTTTGCTTCAGGATAAGAACAGAAATCGTGCTCTGGCGGCGCGGCGGCAGCAGGAGGCCCCATTAGCTAAAGTGGTGCTTCAGGTTAAGAACAGTTTCAGGTTAAGAACGGACCTCTGGAACGAATTAAGTACTTAACCCGAGGTACCACTGTATCGTGGGGAAGGGTTGCATCTAAGTAATTTGACCGAAGGCTGTCAGTAGGCGAGAAGTCACTGAGCTACCGATAGAAGCAAAGATCTTCAGTACATGGGTACCAAGCACGGTGCAACTTATTCAGCAAAAAAGCAGCATTAGAAAATCAAGAGGAATGACAAAAAGATAGATGCCCACAATTCAAAGTTGAATTATGGGGATAATTAACCACGATCTACACTAGTTTATACATAAAGTATGTACAATGTAGTATTGATCACATGCTGAGACAGCCTTACTTAGTCCATATATTGACCTTGGATTGGGTTGATGAAAGTTTTGAATTTGTGCTGGTGGGTTGTAAAATTTTGTGGACAGAATTAATTGTTGCATAAGTAGACTTGCATTTGTGCCTTAACCTTCCTTCCCCTTAAATAACACCTCCAACCTGTTCCCAAAATCCACTCCAGAAGGCCTTCTAGCCTTCTGTTCTACTTGTGCACAAACAGCATACAACCCTGTGAGAGACCCCTAATAAAATCTGATGGGTTACACTTAATGACCTATAAAGTGCTTTCTAACTTTATCATTCATAGGGGAACACACTGAGAGAAAGCATATTTTTCTTTGGGAGTTAAGGGATCAACTGACCTAAGTTCAATATAGTAATTGAACAGGTCCTTATATTGATCACAATATCTGCTTTTTAATTCAGTGCCTGTTATGTGATCTTAATGTCTGTTAAATGTCACATGAAGTAAAGTAGGATATAGATGTAATAAATAAAAGTTCTTTTGCTCCAACAGAAATTTGGATAGATTCTGAAAACCTCTCCCCTATAGCAAAGCAATGCAGTCTCAGTTTAGGAAATGGTGGGGGCAACATCCAACTGTCCTTCTACCAAGAGTGATCTTGGTGTCCTAGCTCAGTTTCCCAACCTTTTCCTGACCATGGCCCTCTTCTGACCTTGTTTCCTTCCTGTGGCCCCCCATGGGTGTAGCCGGGGGGGGGCAGGGGCAGTTGCCCCCTTCAATAAAAATCAATATAAATATGATGTTCACCCCCCCCCCAACAAAAGCCTGCCCCCCTAACAAAATCCTGGCTATGCCCATGCCCCCCTCATCCTACTGGTAGAAAGGTATCTATTTAAATGTTTTGTTTGTAAACAGAACATGTTTTATTTATAATTTTTATTATTTATACAAAATACAATTACATAAAATGATAGGAACATAATGAAATATTGTTGAAGCAGAAAAACATAGAATAATGGAGCTGGAAGGGGCCCCAAGGGTCATCTTTCTAGTATAACACCATGCAATGTAAGGAAACTCAGCTAAAGCATCCATTACAGATGGCCATCCAATCTCTGCTTAGAAACCTCCAAGGAAGGAGAGTGCAGAACCTCCTGAGGAAGATCCATCTTCCATGTAGTATAAAAAGTAAACAACACTTCTCTGACCTCAGTTATTTGACACAGAGGAGAAAACCTACAGATAAAAGTCCAAAAGGCATGCAGGGAGTTCTGTATATAGGAGAATTTTAAAAAGCAAGTTCTCCTCGCTGACCTGGTGCAAAAAGATATTGTCATCTGGAGGAGCACTGGCTGCCTAGATAAAACACTATCCCCTGCACACCCTTACCTGGGAATAAGGCCCACTGAATTCAGTCCAACTTTCTTCTGAGTAGACACTTAGTTATTTACTAGATGCAAGTCAGCAGTACCAGATGACTCCACTTGGCTAGGCGCTGGGGTGGATTGCACCCTGCATCTTGCAGAGTCAGGCCCAGGCTGTCACCAGGCCCAGCACTGGCAGAAGCAACAAGCAGCTCCGGCTCACCCATTGCCACACCACCACTGCACTTACCTGACCTGGGGATTTTGGATTGCGGGCTCTACTGGTCAAAATTGGAGCCTCAGTGATCGCCCCCTCTCGCCGGAAACAATCCAGGACTTATCCAAGAAAACACACATGGCAAAAAGGAGCTCTAGGCCCTGGTGGGCCAACCCCTTACCCACTTGTGATTGGCGAAGAACTTTTTTTCTTTTTTAAAAAAGGTTTCCCCCTCCTTCACTTCTCACATTCCCTTCTGGCCTCCTAGCCTCGTGGTGTGTCGTCCGTCCCCCCCCCCCCCACGATTTTCACCTGTGGGCCCCTTGGACTATCCTGGCCCCTGGTTGGGAAACACTGCCCTAGGTGATGGTTAAACCTAGCCATACTTGTTTGTTTCCCCCTTGCCTGCCTCTGCATAGGCTCCTTATGTGGTGCTTTTCTACAAGCTTTCCTTCTGCACCCACCTCAGGCAGAGACTTTAGTGACAGTGGTAACTTTTCCCTGTAGGGCAGGGATTGCTAACCTGGTGCCTGCTGCCAACAGATGCTTTTACCAGTGCCCTAGGGCAGAGGCCTCAGACTCTGTGAAATGGGAGTCAGTGTGAGGTGGCCACCTTGTATTTTTTTTCCTGGTGCTGAGGATTGCTTCCTGTTGCTATTGGACAGAGACTGTATCAGTGTGTTTGTAAAAAAGTAATATTGTGTGATCTCCACAGTAAGGATTAGCAGGACATAGATGGCTTCCCATAGTAAACATAAGGATGTCATGGGTGGTGATCTCCTATTGTGTGTTATGCCATGCTCCCCATGGCAGCCATTTTGTGTTATACCACAACTTCACCCCAGCAGTTGATTTGTTATGGGAACCCTCATCACTCTTTCAAAATTCAAAAGTTGTCCTCTGGTCCAAAAAAGTTGGTGATTCCTGCTATAGGGAGTGGCCAAGTCAGACAGCAATAGATATAGGTATATTGTTTAAGTTGAAGACTTTGTGTCTTACTTAAATATTTTGTAAACAAGGACACTGCAAAATATTGCAGATTGGTGTAAACATATTTTATGCAGCAGTCCTACTAGAAGGTGACAATTCTGTTTTTGAGCCCATTGTTCACTGCCTAATCCCTTTCAGCCTCTTTCTTTGTGAGGTACCCAGTAGCCTACTTCAGGAGATATATTTGTAGTTGGTTTCACATTTTTGTTTGAATAATGATGCATTCTCTGTTTGATAGAGGTGGTGGCCAATTCATCTAAATGAAATTTCAGAAAGTGTTTGTTGAGTTTCCCAGTTGGTAAGTGATGCAACCTTGCAATTCTGAACCCCACATCTGGCCGGAGGGAGTTAGAAAGAAATAACAATGGCTCTTCAGTAGGGAAGAGCTTCGCCAGCAGAGACACATAATCTGCCATTGAGGGACCCTGCTATGCCTTCATATACTTAGATCTACCACTGGCGGTCTTTCTACCAGTGGTAGCAGGCATAAGGCCCCAAAATGGGAGTTTCTGGGACAGGACATAGGCAGCCTTGGATTCAAGGTTCTTTCATTCATTCGAGAGGCCCTAAATTGGATCCTGTATGTCTGGTATTGGTGTAACTATTTCACACACACTAACAGATCAAAAGAGAGGTAAGTCCACCCCCCCTTCTGTTCTGGCTGGTGTGTTTGTTGGCAGGATTTTAGAAGTGCTGATAGATTCTGGAACTTTGCACACATCCCCATCACATTTATGGTTGAACTCCTAGTCACAAGCCTTGTATTTTACTTGCTTGTTATAGTGGTGGGGGCAAGACTTCAGTGTGCAGTAGGAGGGTATTTTTGTTGCAATTATTATTGTGCTGTCTTGGGGTGGGTTACAACAATTTAAAAATACAAGATTGAAATATGTTAAAGCAAATTGCTGTTGATAGAATAGGTGGGTCTTAAAAATAGAGTTCTGTTTGAAGCATGTTGTCATTATAACACTCAATCCTGTGCTCAGTCTGGCATTTTGTCCAATTACATAATGCATCTGTAATAAGGATTGACAAAAGGTGCTTTCAACTGCTTTCAAAAATCTCCATACTAAAAAAAATCACTTATTTTATTTCAGAGTTGTCTGTTTTTCAAGAACTTTTCCCATTTGTTATAATTGAAACTATAAAATTGTGCTAAGCTATATGTGGTGAGGCAGTCAAGTATGTTTGCATACCTGCTCCATTCACAGGAAGCAAGAAGGTCTACTTTTTACTCCCGCAAAATGTAGATGCCAGGAATCAAACTTCCTACACACTGCTGTTTGGAGAACTTGTCACGGGCCTGGCTCACATTGGAGCCAAGCTTGGAGAAAAGAGCCTGAAGGGATGCAGGGTTCAGGATATAAGGTATGGGAGGAGGTAGAGTTCAGCTGCTTTCAGCTATAAACTTTTTGCTGGAAAATGTAGATTCTTATCACCATACATTAAGGCAATGGATGTAAAGAAATTTTTTTGTTCCTGTCATGTCTTGTGTGGCCCTTAACAGGAGCCCACAAATCCTAGTTTACCTTAGTAGGTCACATGCGTGGAGGTGTAATCCTTGACATTGCACTGTACCCTGAGGACCAGGAAAATTATCTGCTGCCCTTTCCAGCTTCAAACTTGCCACAGTGGAGGAAAGAGTTGTTCCCACTTCAGGCCCCTTGGAAGCACAATCTAACAAGCACAAGTTCTAGCCCTCCTCTTGGGCTTGGAGTTGGAGCTGAATAGGGGATTGTCCTTGCAATTGCATTGTTTTTTAGCGGGCCTCTGGTATAGCACAAATGTGGAGATAACTTCTCCCCTCCCCACATCCCCAGCTTTAAACTCAAGAGAGTTTAAACTCAAGGGGTTTGTGTATGTTGCATTGTGCTTACAAGAACTCATCATGGTAATTGGAATTGTGGACCCTTGGCAAGCCTCAAATTAAATATATAAAATCCGTTTTCATTACCATTATTTCTCAGTTATCAATAAACCTAAAACATTGATAATGAAATTATGGCTTTGGGGTTGAAGAAATCTTAATAAGTATAACGTTGATCATCTGCATGTCCAGAGATCTATACCCAAGCACGCTCTTCCTGATTCCTGCTATGGAAGTACATGTACTTTATTTGTATCTTAGTGTTTGGTTTATATCCATTTCTGTGGTGGGAAGCAAGAAAATACTTCACATGTATTACTTTTATTTAGAAAAGCCAATAGCAGTCTCTGTGCAAAGCCAAAAAGCAAACTTTGCGTCCTTGAAATATTTCATCTTGCTATGGGTTTTTGATAAGTTAGGGGGCTATATTTGGAAATATAAAGCTAGTGTAGGTGCTGAAGTTATCAAAGTCTTCCTAAACTTATTTTAAGGATTATAGAGAAGTCCTGAATCCTAAGTTTAATGAAGAGTAACAGAACAATGAAGAACACAAAAATTAGAATGACACCTCATAATTAGGGATTCTAATAGTGAAGACAAACATAAGTGTGATGGAACTCGTTGAAATGCATATTTACTGCCATGAAGAGAAATGTGTTTTTACAGCAGTAAATGTTTGTTCAAACAATTTACAGCAAAATTAAAATATTACATCTGTTTTTACTGTAAGAACAGGGTGAACAGTAAATACAATGTTACAGTTTAGGATCATATTTTTGACAAATTCAGAGTTTAATAACCAGTTGGAAGGCAAAGAGAAATTTTAAAATGGAGTTTAGTTTTGAAAAGGCATAAATATATTTATTTAATATGAGCATATCAACACAGGAGAGAAACATATGCACAACTTCTGGCTTATGTGTTACCTTTATCACACTTGACAGTTTCTCCATGCTCCATCACAACATGTAGCAGTGGCTATCATATGATTTTTTCACATTTAAAAAAGCGTTTCTACATGAGCTCCACCTGTTCCTAATAATAGCAGGTGTTGGCAGTGGCATGGAAAGACTTCATACCAGAAAACCATATGATTAGTCATACTGCATGTTACAGCAGTAACATGCAAAAGCTGATAATTGGTGATAATTTACAACTTTCCTCTTCATGAAAAATGTAATGTCTGGACTGGCTCCAGAATGTAACTAACAACTAATGAAAAACCACAGTAAGGTTTTATAAGTATATCTGAAGAAACTCAAAGAAATTGAATTGACAGTTACCCTCAACAGGAAAAATGACAGAATTTATGGAGACTGGGGTACTTCATATTTACAGAGAATGGAGCCTTGCTTAGATATAGAACACCAATGAAGGCAAGGCAAAAATCCTTGTCAGGATATCAGGAAAGTGTGTTTAAGAATTCTTGGATAATCTAGTCATTCAAATGATGACAATCTGATTACATTAGTTAATTAGTATTGGACTCCAGAATTCATGAGACAGTTGTACAGTCATAGGAGACTAAAGAGCAAATGGCACTAATGTCTTAAAAACAAAAACGAAAAAACTTGGTTTAGTGTCTGTGCTTGAAAAGTGATGAAACAAATAAACTTGTAAGTTCTCATGAGAATGTGGAATATTACCTGTCAGCATGGCATTATTGATTAAGAAATTTGCATACCAACCTAAGATGTACTACCCTAGTTTCCTTCTTGAGTTTAATAGACTAGAACAGGATTTTCCACACTTGTGTTTCCAGCTGTTTTTGGACTACAACTACAACAACTGAGCTAGTAAGATTAGTGGTCAGGGATGATGGAAACAGTAGTCCAAAAATAGCTGGAGACCCAAGTTTGGGAAACCCTGGACTAGAGGAAAACAGCAAAGTTTCGGATGTGGTCTCATGTGATACTTTGATTCAGGAGCAGTTGTTGAACAAGGTGCCGCTAAAGAGCTTGTCTCCAGAGCCACGTTTGATTCAGTGGAGAGAGTAGGTGATATTTTTTCCTGATTCCTGTCTGTAGCCACCTGAATCAGCTTTAGAGAGCTGGGGGACCCTTCAGAGCAGCATGCAAGGTGTATTGGGGTCAGAGGTGGGAACTGGTGAAAATAATCTCCCCCTCTTCTTCTGTTAGTGGATGTATCTGCAGGTTCAAAACTCCATCTCTCTCGGTATGTTAGCAGCTCTTTGGGATCTCAGGTTGAGGACTTTCTTGTTAGCCTGCTATATGATCCCTTTTAACTGAAGGCATCAAGGATTGAATCTGGGTCCTTTTGCATGCAGAGCATATCCTACATTGCTAAGGACATTGGTTCCTCTTTAATGTGCTGAATCTGCTCTCTTGGAGTTTTGATTTTTTACAGTGATTTCCTTACAATGCCATATAAAGTTTTCACATACACTATGAGCCAAAACATGTGAGTGATGGTGACACTTTGATCTTTATAATAGTAGTGTGTCATCACTTCAAGATTTGTTAGAGATTTCCTCTAATACAAGCACTGAAATGCTCAGACATTTAAGAAAGTTGCCGATATATGGTTTCGGATGGAAGCTTGTGTGCTCCCTCTCTCTTTCTTATTTGCCAAGTGTTGAAGTCTCTTATTTGTAGACTCCTTTTTAAAGTGTCAGAAATGTCTGGGGTTCTGAGCTTCTTTGAATACATTAAGATTAAATATTGCTTAAAAAATGGCAAAATGATTAGTTTGACTGTAGGCCTATACTCACCTGGGACTAAGCACCACTGAACTTACTGGTACTTACTTCTGAGAGGTATGTGTAAAACTGCAGTGCTAAAGCAACATCTAAAATATTGATAAGGATAACATGAGTTACATGCCAGGATACATAATTCTCATTGAAATAAACATATAGGGTTGTTTCCAACACTGCTGTTCCACTAGTGCAGCAGATTTATATTTCCACAATGGAACTTAGTTGTTCTTTTCCCTTGAGTACCCCCATGCACCCTCAAAATTTGATCCAGAGGGCTGAAGAAGCCTCCAGAGCTGATTTTTTGGTGTACAGGAAGAGGATGTGCACAGTCCTGGATACAAGCTTATGTATATGTTCTTTCATTTTACAGTGAGGAAATTTTGAAGAAAGACAATATAAATGGTAGACACTTGCATTTCTAAGCAGTTACACCATTTGCAGTGTTTTGTGGCTCACTCAGCATACCTGAATCTTCCATGTACATCACCGAAAATAATATAGTCTGCACTGAACTTGGAGGGGGGGGGGTAGATGAAGAAACCTTGTGGTGGAATCTGGTTGCAAGAAATGTTTGAATTTCTTTAAGAGATAGCTCAACATTCTAATGACATCACAGACTACTCTTGTGCCCCTTGGTAACCACATTAGAACATTGAGTTTGTGTGTGTGGTGAATAAATGAAGGCAGTTTTTGTAAAACTATTTAAAATACTTGAAAATAATCCTTTCAAAGGATTCTTAGAAAAGCGTTATAAAGAAAACACTTCAGAGGTAACAGTGTATTATAAATCCTTCACTTGAGAAAGAAACTTGTAGTCAATGTGAGGTATTGCATATTGCCTACAAAGCAAAACAGAATTTTGCAGAAGTGTTCCATGATCTGTTCACTGGTGTGCTGTGTTGCCAATTGATTTCAGAGGCCTCTGAACTTCGTTTTTGTGGTAGTACAGTTTCTCCAAGTTACTTGCATGTATTTCGGCAGTGGTGGTGGTAGGATGTCCTGTACGTAGCTGCTGGGCTTCTGAAGGTAATGCATGGCTATGGGAAAAATTAAACTTAAAATCCATCTTTTCCAGGGTTTGATACCCCTATTATTTGGCCAGGAATATACTGGCTTTCTATAGTGATGTTGATGAGGCTTAACCTAAGTGAATGACCATACCTTATAGTGCTTTTGAAAGTGTTGGTTAGTAGACAACCAGGGTGCATATTTCCCAACTCATTGAGAGAAAGTGGTATACTTTCAGTTATAATTTTAATTAAGCACCAGCCTCGTTTTATTCAGAAATGAGATGCTTTATTGAAGCAGATGATAAAATCAATGTTGAGTACTGATAAAAGGAGAAACTTTAGACTGATTGCCTGTAATGTTACCATGTCTGTACATTGGTCAATGCTAGTGAATTTAGAAGAGGTGAGAATGGTGAAATGTGAACTGACTTCTCATGTAGCAGGCGGTATGTGCATGTGCTACAACAGTAAAAGTTTAGGAAAAGGAAATTTTCAGAATCTTTTTTAAAAATGCAATTCTCTCTCTCTTAAAGCACTCTTCACATTTTGGAAGTTGCTTGTTATTTTAGCAACATAAACTGTGTTATGTGTAACTTGATAATACCCTAGAGTTATCAGTTTTTGTATACTGAAAGTTCAGTTTATGGGACAATAGTTACAAATTATATTTGTTTTTAAAAGTATTTGATACAAATGGAGCTACAAGCTGTTGAACTCTTAAGAAACCTAGCATCTCTTTGGTTTTTCTGCTTTATGAGAAGCAGGTAAATAACAATAAAAACAAACTGTTTGCATTATAGTAAAATAAATTATTATTTATTTGGAAACTTATTATGACTCCCATTATTAAGCAGCCATAAGGCATTCATTTTTATAAAAAGAACTGAGAAAAAGAGGAGAAATGGAACAAAACTCAGTTGTTGCTACCACTTTCTGTTCTTCATAGTTGTCTTCCTATTTATCATGGACTTCTAAAGACTGAAGGTTATCCCAGATTGAAACAAGCTTTTATCCTTTCACATGTCAGTTTATTTCTTGATTTAATGTATATCCAAACATAGACCATTTTCTTCAACATGCTGCGGAAGATGGAGGAATCTGAAGTAGGTGAGAAGCAAGAGAAGTCAGAGGCCGTGTTGTGCAAAAGGCCTTGCCACCATGTTACATGAGGGATATGCTTGGCAGAATCCCAGAGTACATTTCTTGGCCAAATACTTGAAGATGTTCTGTGCTTTGCAACATTTGAAAGTACCTTTCCCTATATCTGCAGCCTGTTTTGTAAGCCAGTCAAATGCAGAAGCAGTGCTATCATCATTTACATTTCTACCTTTGAATCTTGGATCTGACAGTTTTGCAACAACATGAACTTGATGGCAACAAAATTATGTTGCTCTGTACTTTCTCCCACTCCTTTGAGACATAGTAAAGAGGACAGAAACAGATCCACCAGCTATGCCAACAAGATGAAAGCACAGTCAAATAATGCATTGACTCCTTTCTTTCCTTGTGACAATGGCATTGCCCTTCCAGAATTGGAATGCACCTTGCTCTTGCATTTGAAAATTATACTCTCAGTATACTACTCAGGACTTGCTTGTCCTCTAATGTACAGGAATTGTGATGATCTAATTCTGTACATAAAACTCTTTTTGTTACACAGTTTTAGAAATAATTTTGGATTAGTGAAGTATGAATGCCTCGTCTAAAACATTTTGTTCCTTTTTCTATAGCAAAAAATTTTACAAGCCAAAAGAAATTACTTCTTTTGGGAACCTACCAACTGAAGAGGATCTGATCACTTAAATATATGGTAGCTGAACTCGTTGATTTATAATAAAATAATAGTTTTGTGTTATATCCATGTGCCTGCTACCCCTCATCTCTCTTCCTCTGGCATTGTCATGCAGAGGTTATAAGAAGCATTTGTTTCTGCTTCAACTAACCATGGTTTGTTATGTCTGAATAGGGAGCTTCAATCCAAGCCAGGATTGTAATCCATGATTTTAAGTCTTTCTGCACAGATTTAACTATGATTTAAATTAGCCACAGTTCATCCCAGTACTGACCTAGACGAACTGTGGTTGGTTAGGTGAAAACAGAAGCAATTGCTTCCAGTCTCCTTTTAGTTGCTACAGGTGAGTTAAGCGGAGAATAATGCATGCACTCATGGCTCACCCAAGCACATGGACTTCTGTTTCAGTGTATCTGAAGAAATATGCATGCACACGAAAGCTCATACCAGTAACGTTGGTCTCTAAGGTGCTACTGGATGGAATTTTTTTATTTTGTTTCGACTACAGCAGACCAACACAGCTACCTACCTGTAACCAAGCTCATTATTGTAGTATGAAACTTAGCATTGTGTCAGAACCCAAGCTATTGTGTGCATGGTTTTGATTTTTACAACAAACAGTACACCTTGTTTAGCACATTAAGATTAAAAGTACAGTGGAACCTCGGGTTGTGAATGTGATCCGTGCGGGAGGCACATTCGCAACCCGCAACGTTCGCAACCCGCAGCACCACGTCTGCGCACATGTGGGTCGCAATTCGGTGCTTCTGCGCATGCGCGAAGCACCGAAACCCAGAAGTAACCCATTCCAGTACTTCCAGCTTCAGTGCAGTGCACAACCCGAAATCGCGTAACCTGAAGCGTCTGTAACCCGAGGTACCACTCTATTTACTTTCTTCACTTAGGTAAGATATCTGTCTGTCTGTCTATCTGTAGCATAGTGTTTGTACCTTTCTTGAGCTTGAAGTGGTATTTTCTTTTTTACATATAAGCAGAAATAATAAAATAATATAATAAAAATACAGAAAGTGTAGGCTTAGTTATGATATACAAGTGTTGATGTCAGATTCATCACTAGCTCCACTTGTAAGTGGAGTAAGCCTCTGTATCTTCTTTTCATCCTTCCCAATTCATCCAGCACAGCATTAGTAGCCAGGAAATTTGTAACTGGAAGTCATTTCATACCTGCTGAAATAGTACTTCAGGGCAGTCTTGTTACTTTCTTTGGACTTCAAAACATTTGTTTTGTAAAAGGAATTGTGGTTCCTGGAAAAACAATGTCATGAAAGCTTTTCCTATCTGCATGTTTTAGCAGTGAGTAGCTTATTGCTATGCAATTTTGGTCCCACTTAATACAAGCACCCATCCTCCCTTTCTGCTATATCATATTGTCTGATTCAAAACAGCTGTATACAAATGGGAATTGGTAAGTTAAACATTTGACCGGTCAAAACGGTCTTTGAGTTGACTAGTTAAATATTGACCCAAGCCATTTCCTTGGCATATATTTTCGGATAGACATGTTTGCTGCTGCTGAATTCTGAAGTAGTTTCTATTTGGCTCTGATCATTATACAAAACTAGAATGGAAACGGGTTCAAATTAATTGGTGGAAATGCAACAGGTAATGTGTCCAATATGAGATAGAGCAGGCAATCTTTCGCTAGATGGAATTTCCTTCAAATTGGGGTTGCATCATTCTGCTCTAAAATGCTTTTAAGAGGATGGGCAAAAGTGTAGTATAGAGTTTCTCCCAAATTTTTAAGTTCAAATTCAGTGTACTGTAGGGAATGCATTTTGATTATAACTTTCCTGTCTGTTAAGGTTAGCCAGTAAAATTCTGTTGGGCCTCATATCCTCCAGAAGTTGAACTGTGGATGGACAGGATAGGGCCTCTTCTGTAGTGTTATTGCAATTCTGGAGCCAATTCCCTACAGAGACCAGCTTCGATCCTTCATTGTGTACTTTGTGAAAATTGTGAAAATAGTTTTATTCTGACACATTTGGAAGCTAGTATGATGTGCTTCTTTAGCTATTCATAGAATCCTAGAACTGTAGAGTTGGAAGGGACTCTGTGGGCCATCTAGTTGAACCCCTGCTATGCAGAAATCTCAGCTAAAGCATCAATAGCAGATGGCCATCCAACCTCTACTTAAACACCTCCAATGAAAGATAGTCCACCACGTCAATTCCGCTGTCAAACTGCTCTTATCATGAGAAGTTCTTGTTGTTTAGTCAGAATCTCATTTCTTGTAACTGGAGCCATTGGTTCTCGTCCTACCCTCCGGAGCAGGAGAAAACAAGCTTGCTCCATCTTCCATGTGACAGCCCTTGAGAAATTTGATGGCTATTATATCTCTGCTGTTTTGTCAAGATACATTGGTTGCATAAAAGTATTATTCATTTCACTGTACAATTTTGATTTTGTTCGCTTTTATCTTGACTTCCTTGCATTGGAGATTCTGAACTAATAATTTAAAAAGTGAAGGGACTCAGTAATGTTCAGAAGTGATGCAGTGGCCCAGTTCAGATGATGGTCTTACTGCTTTATAAGGTGAGATACAAACAAGCCTCTTGCTGGTTCAAACAGTCCATTTGCTCCTCCCTTTTCAGCACACCTGAATGCAGTGCAGAAGTTTCTATAGTTTTCTGTTTTGCATAAACTGAGCACCATGGTTTTCAGTTTTAGGACAAGCCAGAATCCTAAAACATGATCAAATTCTATCTTAATGCATTGCCTTTTGATTTTTGGCTTTTTGGGAAGCTACTAAATAGTTCTCAGTTTGCACATAACTGCTCCATTCTTTCACCGGTTTTGCACATGGAAGAGCAGCAAGGATATGAGTAGGTGTATGAATATCTTACATGTTATGGCTTATTAAAGCCAGGGTTTGATTGTGTGTACTGGGTTCATTGGGTCAAGTTAGACTTTTGGCTTCTTCTGAAACTGAAAATGATAGCTTCCTATTTGTATGAAATTACAATTTGTGATTAACTAGGGACTTCTTGGTTCAGTTGCTGCTTGGACAGAAAGCTTGGTTATATATTGGCTTAGTAAGATGAGAGATGGTTCTCCAAGATATCTAGCTAAACTTTAAAAGTTTTTTACTATAACCTTCATTGTGCATGTTTTAAAAAATCTTCCAACTTTGCAGTCCTAACACATAATTGAGGACAGCATTAGTACTGCAAAATGATCAGTGATTTAGAATCATATTGGAGATTGAACTATTATATGCTACTCGATACTATAGTGATGAGACAGCCATTTCAATATGGTTTTGAAGAATAATGTTACTAGATATCATCAATTTGTCCCTTGGCACGGGGACATTCCCAGGGGAACTGAAGGAGGCAGTGGTGCGCCCACTCTTAAAGAAAACATCATTAGATCCTTTAGATCTATCCAATTACCGCCCGGTTTCGAATCTTCCGTTCCTGGGTAAGGTGATTGAGAGAGCGGTTGCTGAACAGCTTGGTGGGTTTCTGGATGAAACATCGGCTCTGGATCCATTCCATCCGGCTTCCGCGCTGGTCATGGGACCGAGACGGCTCTGGTTGCCCTAACAGATGATCTTCGTAGACAGCTGGATCGAGGTGGGTCGGGGCTGCTGATTCTTCTAGATCTGTCAGCAGCTTTCGACATGGTCGATCACGAACTTCTGGACCACCCCCTTGCCGACGTGGGGATCCAGGGCACAGTCCTTCAATGGCTGCGCTCGTTTCTCTCTGGTCGGGGACAGAGGGTGGTGCTTGGGGGGGAATTGTCATCGCGCCACTTCTTGGTGTGTGGAGTACCTCAGGGTGCGATACTCTCCCCGATGCTTTTCAACATCTTTATGTGCCCCCTCACCCAGCTTGTCCGGAGTTTTGGGCTGGGTTGCCATCAGTACAGTGGTACCTCGCAAGACGAATGCCTCGCAAGACAAAAAACTCGCTAGACGAAAGGGTTTTTTGTTTTTTGAGCTGCTTCGCAAGACGGTTTTCCCTATGGGCTTGCTTCGCAAGACGGAAACGTCTTGCAAGTTTGTTTCCTTTTTTCTTAACACCGTTAATACAGTTGCGACTTGACTTCGAGGAGCAACTCATAGAACGCGGTGTGGTAGCCTTTTTTTGAGGTTTTTAAAGACTTTGGTGATTTTTGAAGCTTTTCCAAAACTTTCCCAACACTGTGCTTCGCAAGACAAAAAAAATCACAAGACGACAAAACTCGCGGAACGAATTAATTTCGTCTTGCGAGGCACCACTGTATGCTGATGACACCCAACTCTATCTGTTGATGGATGGCCATCCTGACTCGGCCCCAGACACACTGACCAGATGTTTGGAAGCTGTGGCTGGATGGTTACGTGGGAGCCGGTTGAAGCTAAATCCTTCGAAGACATAGGTCCTGTGGCTGGGACAGGACGATATGGGATGGGGGGGCAACTCCCATCTCTTGCGAGGGCGCAATTAGTGCCAGCACCGTCCATTAAGAGTTTGGGTGTAATCTTCGACACCTCCCTTTCCATGGAGGCGCAGATTGCAGCTACAACAAAGGCGGCATTTTTCCATCTCCACCAAGCTAAGCAGTTGGCTCCTTACCTCTCTCGCCCTGACCTAGCCACTGTGATCCACGCGATGGTCACCTCCAGACTGGATTATTGTAACTCGCTCTACGTGGGGCTGCCCTTGAGACTGACCCTGAAACTCCAGCGGGTGCAGAATGCTGCAGCGAGACTCCTTACGGGGTCTTCGCTGTGAGATCACATTCACCCGGTGCTACACCAGCTGCACTGGCTCCCGGTGGAGTACAGGATCAGGTTTAAGGTGCTGGTTTTAACCTTTAAAGCCCTATACGGCCTAGGACCCTCGTACCTACGGGACTGCCTCTCCTGGTATGCCCCACAGAGAAACTTACGGTCTTCAAATAAAAACATCTTGAAGGTCCCAGGCCACAGAGAAGTTAGGCTGGCCTCAACTAGAGCCAGGGCTTTTTCGGCTGTGGCTCCGATCTGGTGGAACACACTGTCACAAGAGACCAGGGCCCTGCGGGACTTGACATTTTCTGCAGGGCCTGCAAGACAGAGCTGTTCCACCAGGCCTTTGGCCAGGGCACAGCCTGACTCCCTCCCTCAGCAATCTTTGCGGAGCTCTGGCCCAATGGTTGCAAGTGGCTTGAATTAATTAATTTTATAATGAATGATTTTAGAGTGTTGTTTGTGCTGTACTTTTGTACTGTTTTATTGTTGTTAGCCGCCCTGAGCCCGGCTTCAGCTGGGGAGGGACATAAATAAAATTTATTATTATTATTATTAGAATTGTGTATTATTTAAATTAATTGGAAATATGCCTAAAACAGCAGTGAAGGATTTCTTTAAAGCATCAAGCTATATCTGAAAGTCATTGTAGGTGGTTATTCTTATTATTAACATATTTATGTATTACTGGAGTATGAATGATGACTATTAACTGAGGTGGCTGAGGATTTTTGCCTTAAACTATGGTTTATCATTAAACAATTGGATTTCATACATAAATAAAAAGCCCTCCTGTTAATTTCACTCACTAAAGCATTTGTAAAAGATTACATTAATGATTTGTCCAGGGTTATGCCTTTATTTGCAAGGTATAACAAGGTTTACTACTAATCTTGCATGTGTAAATTATCTAATATGTCTTGCTTTTCTTTCTTTGTTACCCTACTTTTCAGCCAAGGTTGTTTCCCAGATAAATAGAGTAGTTGATAATGTGAAAGTATAAAAACATTTAGCTTCCCTTTAAGTGTATTTGAGACATTTATATTGCCATACGCATGTTTCAGTAAGCAAAAAACAAATGATTCAGCAATGACTCAGATCAGTAGCTTTTGTTACACATTGGACTAGTAATGCACTAACAGTAAGCTGAACACCTGATAGCACCAGCAGTGCAAGGCTCACTGGTAATATGCATGATAGTGTGGGTGAGGGAAAATTGCAGTGATACTTAAATATATTTCCCGCGAGATCCTATTGTTTAGTGAAACTGAGATAGTTACTTTTGCATCATAATTACTCAGTGATTGATAGTTTGTAGCTGAATGTGTGAACTGATTCCTCTGGAAAAGGTTGTATTTGAAGTGAGATAAAAGTTCTCTGTCTGTGATAGCTTACTTATGTTTGCAAGACAACAGCAGCCATCAAGTAGTAATAAAACATGTGTGAATCAGTGGTGTGTGTTGCAAAGAATGTCTGATATCTTACAGAGTTTTGTGCAGTGTGAAGATCTGTTAATACAAACTGCTGGAAAATTAGTCATGTATCTGGTATCGGGCTTGACTCACCTGTCAGCTTGGAGCAGAGCTTCTGATAATCACATATATTTGGGGTTATGAATGTGCAACAGTTTTGAAAGGGAAATAATTTTGAAACTTCCTAATCAGAGTAGTTTCTGAATTAGTCTTTTTCTTTGCCTTTGCAGATGACTATGGATGAAAAATATGTGAACAGCATTTGGGATCTTCTGAAAAACGCAATTCAAGAGATTCAGCGTAAGAACAACAGTGGTCTCAGCTTTGAGGAACTCTATAGGAATGCATATACTATGGTATTACATAAACATGGCGAGAAACTATACACTGGACTACGAGAAGTGGTTACTGAGCATCTCATAAACAAGGTATCTACGTGCAATCAACACCATATGCAAATTGGAAGCAAATGGCTAAGGTTATAGAAGAAACTCATTTCTACTTAAGGCATATGGCTGTCCTTAGAGAATCGTACACAATGTTCTGGTTACATTATGATTGTTTTCCGCATGTTAGCAAATGCTAGACAAAAATTATAAAATTTAGCTTCTTGCACAGGGATGTTCTCTTCACACACAGTGAAACTGTTACTAGTAAAAATTATTTATAAAGCACTTTTAATATGTAGAAAGTTTTTACAGTCTTTCTCATATTTACATTCACAGCTATATTATTCTTAAAGTAAGCCATATTAATTTTACAGGTGAGACTGAGACTAAAAATTATTATTCGCCAGAAAACAGAAGCCTCTAATTTCTTTTCTTGTGCATGTAGGAAGAAGCATGGGAATCAGAACAGAGGCCACTTGTGTTTATAATATCAAATCAGTTTGGTGTTTCATCTGAATGAAATCACGTTTCATTCAAACCCAGAAAAAATGTAGTTTTCCCACAAACCAGGATCAAATCCCGACTGTATAAAATGATGAATGATTGTTTACTGCAAACCAGAAATGAAAGCTTCTAATTTTGTTCCTCACATGGAACAAGGGAGGATGAAATGCTTGAGCCCAAGACTTGCAACACCAAACCTGGTTTGGCATATTGTTTGAATGGAACTATTGCCGTGGCTTCTTGTCATGAAGGTGAGCAGTGTGAGCCGGTGGCTAGGCACTCCCCTTTCACTTCTTATGCATATGCAGATAGTGTAAAGGTTGCCACAACTTTCAACACATTTTTTTTGTAATGTCTGAATACAAGAAACAGTGATTCATTCAAAACACAATTAGTGCAACAGCTCAGGCTCTGAAACCTTGTTTAGTGTTTACGTTTGAACTGGATGATTGACTTGCTCAAGACCACATACTTCATCATTCCTGGCTAGCAGGACCAGTGGTCAGAGATGATTGGAGTTGTAGTCCAACAAACAGCTGGGGACCCAAGTTTGAGAAACCCTGGTTTAGTGAAACCTTTCATCTTTCACAGATGTTGGTTCACACTTTATGGTTGGTGATGGAATAAAGCAGAGAACTCTTACCCTTGGGGACCCAGGGCACATTTGGAATAAAAAAATTACTTCCACTTCTAAAAGAGCAAAATAGAGACAGAACCACAAAATGCTGTAGGCACCCTCACCCTGCCCCCACCACAAAAAAATCTGTGAGGTTCAAGGCACCTGCCATAGCAACTGCCATGCTTGTTCACAGATAGAAAACTTTTTACACTGTTCTGAACAGGTGGCAAAGTTGGTGTCTAATTGTGGCATGTAATTAAATGTGAACATGTTAAAGGGGACATGTTGAATGTTGGAGGGGCTGAACCAGTGTAACCTGTTTCATGCATTATGGATTTTTTAGGGGATATTTATGAGACCTACTATGGGCGCCATGTGAGGTACCGGCTGTCATACTAGTGTCCATGTTGGTGCTCCTGACATAAAGACTGTGTCACAGAAGTAGCTGTGGTGAAAAAAAAGTGGTTGTCTGCTACTGGGTCTGGAAAGTGTCATCTACTAAAGTTGGTTTTGGTGGTCAATAGCCTAGTGAATTAGAGCTGTCTTTGCCCGTGGTGGTGACTGTGCCACCTATTGATATTGACTCAGCTTTGGGACTGCTGCAACTAGTGTGAATGTAGCATTTTGGGTAATGGGAGTTTCAAGGCCTATTGCTGCAGAGGTATGGTTGGCTCAGCTCCATGTCTGGATCGCATTCTACTGTGACAGTAGTGATAGGAAGCAATCACGAGGAATGGATTGCTGACATAGCTACTTCCTATGTTAACATTGCAGCCATCTCGAAGTGACAGGCACACTTGTGATAGTCTTTTGTCATCAGTCTCGTCTTGTTTGAATCTGTTTCATTTAGTCCAGGGGTCAGCAAACTTTTTCAGCAGGGGGCCGGTCCATTGCCCCTCAGACCTTATGCAGGGCCAGACTATATTTTGGGAAGAAAAAAAAGGAATGAATTCCTGTGCCCCAGAGATGCATTTTAAATAACCCAGAGATGCATTTTAAATAAAACCACACATTCTACTCCTGTAAAAACACGCTGATTCCTGGACGGTCCGCGGGGCGGATTTAGAACCCAATTGGGCCGGATCCGGCCCCTGGGCCTTAGTTTGCCTACCCATGATTTAGTCTTTCCCGAAAATGACAAAATATATTTGAGAATACAAGGACAGATTTTGCACCTGTATATAAAATGCACTCAACCTCAGATATGAATGGATTATATGTGTTTAGGTTGCTGCCATTGTCAGAAAAAAAGATAGAAGCAGGAACACCAGACAATTCAGAAGCACACTTGGCCATCTTTTAGAAGCATTTCAAAACCTTTATTGTTTAGGCCTAGTTTCAGAGATCATGGCTAAACTGACAGAGGATTGGACAATTTTTTAAAATATAGTGTTTTCTAGTTCTTAATTTTTGTATTGTTTCATTAATTTAGGAGGGGGAAGGTTGTTGGAAAAAAATACACTTCAGGGTCCTCTGTTAGAAAAAAAACACTGCTACAGCTTGGGGGAGGCCTTGTGTGTTTTCGTAATGCTGTCTTGGGCACTACAACACAAACCACCTTGATGAAGCCTTATGCATTTAATATTTGCTGCTTATATTGGGACAGGTGTGCTGAGCACAGCAGATCCCTTTAGCTCCACTCGTGTATACTTGTAAGTAATTGGTATACACATCACCCATGGAAAATCATAACTACATTGGTATAAAACCTTTAGGAACAATACTTTTAAAATGTTCCAAATGTGCTAACAATATCCTGTAAAGCAAGAGTTCAGTTAAGGGTCAGTTCAGGATAATAGTCTGGGAAGATTAGTAAACTGCTACTTGCTAATCACTGTATACAATTTTAAATGCATGCATTCATGTTTGGAATACAAAGTTGTTACTGTTTGGAGTGGGATTTCTTTTTATTTTTTACTTTGGCGCATATGGGAAGTATTCCTTTCAATTTGTTCTAATTTGTTTGCTGGATCTTCACTCAGACACTGGTACTTTAAACAAAAATTATATAACCTAGTAAGACAGTGAGCAATTATTGTTAAAAATCTATTCATGATTGTACTTGCTGGTTGTCATTATCTGCAAGCAGTGAACACAAAACTTAAATGAGCAAATGAAAGCATGCAATTTTTGCATGAAGTATGAAATACTAAAACACATATTGTGATTCTTCAGCAGCCCAATTTATGTAGATAGAAGATCTTCTAACATGACTAGCATCTAGTATATGCTAAAAATAGGAGTCATTTTTCTATTTTGTATAATTTGCTGTATAATCTATAGTTGTCTTAGGCACTTGACTTTCATGAAGCTTCTTTGCCTTGGAAAGAGGAGCTGCATAGGTGATAAATGTGAAGTAATTTTAGTGAGCAGATAACCCCTACATACTCCATACCTATTCTTCCTCAAAAAAACAGGTTGCAATCAGTGTTAGAAACGCAGCTATATAAGCTAGAGGCCAAAGGTTACAGATGGCAAAATAAAATGTCGAGTTGCCATTTTGGGGCAAGACAGCTCTAAAATCTTTTTTTTTTCTTCAAATGATTTACTGACTGTGATTGATTATCAGTTAAACATCTGGGTAGTTCAGATGATAATCTTGAGCTAGATTAAAAACTTTGAGAATCTAAGGAAGAAAAGCCACTTTATCCAGGGATCGTCCACATATATATTGGCCTATTCCTACTGCTTTTTCTTAATGGTGACACAGACCATTCATAACATAAAAATATTCTTCACAATAGTGAGCAGGGCAGTAGGGTGGGGTAAGTGAAGACAAGCTACAACAGTTAGCTATAACATTGCTCCCTGCTCCTGCTCAGGCTGCACAGAAAAAGCATTTTGGTTCCTGAAATCCATTGTGATTGTGCAGATAAAATATAACTGATAGAATTCTACAGGATGTGATATTAGTGTGTGAAAACAATCAAGATCCAATGATCCCCAGATAGTAATGTCAGGTGCCATCCTGGCACCCAGGGATCTTCACTTGGTTGCAAGTGGCTGACAATCAGGTGCAAAACGCGCCAGGTAACAGGTTAATTTCGAACACTGGTTGCAATATATGTACAGGGAGTGCTACAGATCAAATGCACTGTCAGTAACAACTACATCAAGTCTCTATTTGCTATGCAGGAGAACCTAGACTTTACAGATGAAAAGAGAATGAAACATAAAGCATCTTCCCTATGACTGACTGACAAACTTCATCTTTTTTCTCCCAAAGAGTGCTTTTGTGACTTGGGAGAAGAAAGACCTCTTAGCTGGTCCTTCTGAGTAGTACTACAAGATATCCAGAACTGTTTGTTCAAGTGAATGTTACAAGAAAAACTTGAACACCTCCTTCTCAAGGACCCAGTGTTCATCACAGAGACTATGGCTGTTTGTATAGCAGGAAACAGAGCCAAGACTTCCTCTGGGATATTGCTATGTGACTTCACTAAATAATAAACCTTTTTGTGGAAAAGCAATGTCAAATGCTGCTATTCTTAAAACACATGTAAATAGTCCTGAAATCTAGATGTTTATTTTGGTGTGTCTGCTATCACCTGAGAAGTTAAAAGGCTACAGGAGCCAATTTTATCCCCCATTCCCAATATGCTTGTATATTGTATAAACATTGAACTCAACAGCTGGCTGAAATGTAGAGACTAAGAATTTTAGTTGTGAACTAGCAAATGCTACTTCTTTTAGGATAAGAATATACAGCCTCTGACTGTTACTTGCAGCTGCTGCTAAATGACAGTCTCCTCCCCCAATTTATCCTTGAAAGTGCAGGACTTTCCACGGACTACTGTAGGAATCAAAACAGTTACATGCTTGTATCACAAAAAGTAAGCTGCAAAGGGGATTTAAAGAACAGCAAACAACTTTTAAATATTTTGAGATGAATACCTGTTAGCCTCAGATGGGATCTTTCTATCCAAAAAGGACCATTCTTCAACCTTGTAAATCAAGGCACAAAAGTTACTAGCCTGCAAAGTGCTTTTGCTAGTGTGTCGGCGGCTGGCTGAGGAGGGATCGAGAGCTTGGTCCCACCTCCAGCAGCCTACTACATTTCTATCATCATTATCATTTTATTTGTAAGGCTTCCATACTTGTCTTTCATTTCTGGGACATTGTGCAACATTAAGATGAATGAAAGTGTCTTTAATAGTATATTGCCTTGCTGTCTCTCCTTCACCCCTAGCTATAATGCTTTTATAAGGACACCTCATCCTCTTACTCATTCAAAGAAACCCCCCCTCCAATAAAACCCCTAAACATTTTAATTGGTTCACGGAAAGTGTTTAATTTGAGTTAGGGCTCAGTGAATGCTGAGAAATATGGCCCAAAAACAACAACTGTATTTTAGTGATTAGGAAAAAGAGTGGTAGTGGTAGATCAGAGCCATCAGAAATTGTGAGGCATTACAGAGGAAGACACTACATTATTTCCTCCCATTACAGTTTTATGATAAAATTAAAGAGTTATATTTTAAACAACATTGAATACTAGCAATTCCAGACAGAGGTTGGGTGCCAGTATGTGGGAATGTAGGAAGCTGCCTCATACCTTCTCAGACCATCTAGCTCAGTATTGTTTACTGTGACTGGCCATAGTTCTCTAGTATTCCAGACCTACATCTTTCCCAGCCCTACCTGGAAATGGCAGTGATTAAACCTGGGATCTTTTGCATGCAAAGCATTCGCTCTACTACTCACCTGCTGAGTTAAAAATGAACAGAGGCAGGCTTCGTCAAATGCATCCAGAAGACAAAGTCAGCAATTGCCACAGAAAGAGGAGGGAGAAATCCAGAAGAGGCAGGCATCAAAAAATAAACAAGCAGGCTCCAAGAACCAACCAAGAAGGTTTCTACTCAAATCCATTTTCCATATGCCATTGTAGGAAAGAGCTGATGGCATGGTCAGTCAGCTCTTGATAAGTAAGCATGATTACTCTTCCTTTTGCATTTTGCACACATTACAAGACAAGTCCCAGTAGCACAGCAATGCACATGACTGACTAGGGCTGTTTCCTGTCCTGCCAGAAAGAAAGAAGTGTAAATGTTTGTGAGTAATATGACTTGCTGTGAGGATCACAAAATTAATTTGGTTATGCTTCTAGGAGCTTCAGGGCTAAATGTATCGTTTATCCTATATGGTAAAGCTGTCTACACTGCTAACAAAACATGATAAATTAACAAGTTTCATCTATATATTTCATTTATATACTCACGAGTCAGCCTATCTGCAGACAATACTTGCCTGTTTTTTAAATGCAAAGAGCTTCCTAATAGTGGTGCGATTTGAACTGGTAGTGTGGTTATTTGGCACGTCTTTTTGCTCATTCTTGTGACAGTAGCATAGCAGTATATGTTGTAGCTTTCAATAACTTGTATTAAATAAGTTGCCTTGGTTATTTTGAAACATTCTGTTTCGTTGCAGGTGCGAGAAGATGTGCTAAATTCATTAAATAACAACTTCCTCCAAACATTAAACCAAGCATGGAATGATCATCAAACAGCAATGGTGATGATTAGAGACATTCTAATGTATATGGTAGGTAATGTCTTATTTCTCTCTCTCTCTGGAGCTAGAAGTATTTAGTCGTAAGAACAAACTTGTAGATCTTCATACTGATGGAAGAATTGGACATGATAGGTTGAAATCTTTAACTGATATGAATGTGGAGCATACACACACTGGACTCCACTTTTCCTCCTCAGTAGTTTCATTGTGAATGGCGCTTTTGGGAAGCTGAGATTGGAATAGAGGTTAACAAGATGTGCTTACATAATGAAAGAGAAAGGCTCATATATCGGCCTCTATGTGGGGCACCTGCATAATGCATTGTTCTAGGTATGCGGTGGAGTATCTACACCCATGCCTCCATGTGAAATCTGTTGCTATCATCTCTCCAGAACTAGGCTAAAGACTGCTAATGAAATGTCAAAAGATCAGGATCAATTTTTGTTGTTGTTGTCATTTATCTAGTGCGCTCTTTCAGATTTCCACTTTATTCAAATACTGTTTTGAACTGAACACAGTTTTAGATGTTTTACCCTTTACATATCATGTCTTACTCTGTATGTGGACCATATTGTCACTGGAAATTTTAATTTTTAAATGGAAAGAGCAGCTACTCTTTACCTTTACAAGGAATCTTGCAAAGCACAATTTAGGATTGGGTTCTTAGATCTGATATTTCTTTTTTTTTTTTTTTTTTTAAAGCAATTTATTGGGTTTTACAATAGGAATAAATATAATAAACAATATAGCATTCGTCTTAACATAATTTCACATTTTCTTTGGACTTCCTCACATCTCCCGCTCCCACCTTCATCATTATAACATTTTGTCAGCAATTTATCATCTTATTTAAATTCTTGTATCTCTTCGATATTTCATAATCTTAAAGTTCTCATAAAGAGTTAAACTTTCACAATTTTTCTTGTTTCCTTAAAAATTTCTAAGTTAAGTGGTGCTCAGTTATTTAGTCCAGCATCTTATTCAGCATTCAATCAAATCACAATGTTTTTGTAGGTAGTTCTTAAATTTCTTCCAATCCTCCTCGATTCTCTCTTCTCCCAGGTCACGGATTCTGCCAGTCATTTCAGCCAGTTGCATATAGTCTATCAGTTGCATCTGCCATTCTTCCAGTGTGGGTAGATCTTGGGTTTTCCAATGTTTTGCGAGTAGTATCCTTGCTGCTGTTGTTGCTTAGTTTTATATTGCCTGGTCCTTCTTTGCCACCCCTTGGCTGACAATACCCAAAAGGAAAGCCTCTGGTTTCTTAGTGAAAGTATATTTAAATACCTTTTTCAATTCATTATAAATCATTTCCCAGAACGCCTTCACTTTAGGGCATGTCCACCAGAGGTGAAAGAACGTTCCTTCACACTCTTTGCATTTCCAGCACTTGTTATCAGACAGGTGGTAAATTTTTGCGAGTTTGACTGGGGTCATATACCATCTATAAATCATTTTCATTACATTTTCTTTCAAAGCATTACATGCAGTAAATTTCAATCCATTACTCCACAGCCTTTCCCAGTCCTCAAACATAATATTATACCCAATATCCTGTGCCCACCTTATCATAGCCGATTTAACCATTTCATCTTGTGTATTCCATTCCAACAGCAAGTTATACATCCTTGAAAGTATCTTAGTCTTTGGTTCTAACAATTCTGTTTCTAATTTCGATTTCTCCACCTGGAACCCTAGTTTCTTATCACTTTTAAAAACTTCTTTAATCTGAGCATAATGTAACCAATCTCGCACTTTGTCTTTCATTTTCTCCAAGCTCTGCAATTTCCAATTGTCTCCATCTTTTTCTAGTATTTCCCAATATTTTGGCCATTTGGCCTCCATATTGGGTCTTTTTCGGGCCTTAGCTTCCAAAGGTGAAAGCCACCTTGGTGTTTTATTTTCCAGCAAGTCTTTATATTTTGTCCAGACATTAAACAGTGATTTCCTAACAATATGGTTCTTAAAGGCCTTATTTGCTTTAACTTTGTCATACCATAAATATGCATGCCATCCAAAAACATTGTTAAACCCCTCCAAATCTAACACATCAGTGTCTTCAAGAAGTAGCCAGTCTTTTAGCCAGCAGAACGCTGCGGCTTCATAGTACAACTTTAAGTCCGGCAGGGCAAAGCCCCCTCTTTGTTTTGCATCGGTTAGTATCTTAAACTTAACTTAGATCTGATATTTCCAGTGCCATATGAAAACACTCTTCTACCGAGAGTGTTTGTATTACATTGTATTACATTTTTATGTCTGCTTTCATCTGAAGAGCTCTGAGGGTTTCCAAATAGTCTCTCTTCCAAGTTTTGACTAGGACCATTCCTGTTTAGGATTAGGTACCCTGAGACCATTTTATGATGCTCTCCTCTTCCTTGCAGTCAGTGTTCTCTATTATACATGTGTACATCTTTCATAACTCACGGGATAGATTTCTTTTTTCTTTGTATGTAGTCTGAGCTCTACTGTATTGGTCAGCTTTATCATCTTTCAAATGACAAAGTTTTGATTGCATCGATTTAGGGGTATGTGTGTGTTACATGGTGATAAACACACACATGATTTGAGAGAATCTAAATGATAGTGTGTTCCAATTTATTTATTTTGCCCTGATAATTGTAAGACAGTTGTTTTCTGCAATATAAACAATAACCACTTATAGTTATTTTGGTATCAGTTTTCAAGACAAAGTGCATTGGAGGTTGTTTTGGGGAGGGGGTGACTGAGGTATGCTCATGTAGCTGTAAGCAGTCTCTGGATAAACTGCATAAGAGTGGTATTGTATAAAAGCCTTATTATTTATATTTTAATTTTAGGACCGTGTATATGTACAACAAAATAATGTGGAAAATGTCTACAACTTGGGATTAATTATCTTTCGAGATCAAGTTGTACGTTACGGGTGTATTAGGGATCATCTACGACAGACATTGTTGGACATGATTGCAAGGGAACGGAAAGGAGAAGTTGTGGACAGGTACAACTGCAAAAAATAGCTTTGATATCATTCTTGCAAGATATTTGTTTTGCTGTTGTGCTTTTGCTGCTGTTGTGCTTTTGTTTGCGTTTTTTAATTTCATTTTTAAATATTAATAGTGGGATATATTTTATGAGGCCATCAATAAAAATTCCCTTGGTGGCTAATACTGTTAGTACACTATATTATCAAAATCAAGATGATAACTCAAACATTTTTTAAAAAATACATGCCATCAATATATTCAGTATCCATTTCTTACCTTCTCTGCCACTGCAGTAGCTATTTTCCTCCCCCATCCCCCAAATTCCTTACCATTTTAAAAACAATTTGAAACTTGATTTTATTTTGGCTGCAGGTTGCCCATTGGCATTTGAATATATGGCTGTATATACCAGTTGTTCAACATTCTCCTCTTTTGGAGTGTTTAGGGAGCTTCATTCTCAACACATCTTTGCTTGTAAACAAATTGTTCTTCTGACACAGTTACGGAGTGTTACAATGTTGGAGCTCTAGTAGCTATTAACACTTTGTTAGTAATTTAAAATGTGTACACAGTATTTCAACTTGGCCAACTCCACATTGCTACACAACCCTAAAGGCTGTATTCAAAGTAGTGCTGTGTGACCCATTCTGTTGGCACAAGTATATCTGCTTGCACAATGGAACTTCCCTTCTGTGTACTCCCAAATCTATTCCAGGGGTTCCCTCAACACTCTGGAGTAGATATGGGATTGGTATATACTGGAGATGGGGGAAGAGTTTTGTTGTGCAGGCATAAATCCTTGTGCTAATGGAATGAGTTCATTGGATATTGCCCTTAATGCTTATCAAGATATTGATATCTACAAATTTACACAGATAAGCTAGTGTGAAGTTCCTATTCCGATTTCATAATTTAGTTATTTTCCTGTACAAAATTGCATACGGACTGGTTGCTGTGACTATTAAATTATTATTATTTTCAGCTGAGGAGTTTCTAGAAATGTAGAAAGTTGTGAAATTAGGGGATTGGTGTGTGTGTTTTTGTGCACTTGAGAACACTGAATAAGATCAGTGACTTAAAGATGAAGTACCTAAAAATTTTCAGAAGAGCCAGTAAAGGAACTTTTATAATCTTGTCTAAAATAATTGGTTCTAAACAATCCCCTTACTCAGAATAATACATAACATTTGCATACACACTCAGTGATCCTCTTAAAGTCTGTAAAACAGGCCATTGCCTGCATATTGCAGATGGCGGTGAGGATAAGGGAAGGTATCTAATTCCACCTAGTGAATTCATGGCAGCTGGAATGATAGTATTTATGACTTCATGGTTCACGGTTCAGTCTCTTCAATACCTAATTATACCAGATCTAAATGGAGACAACCAGAAATCATTATAGCTAGGAAATCAAGTTGAGCAGCCTATCAGTTCTGAGTAAACCTGGTGTCACTATAGTCTCCAAAGAGCCCACCAAAGGAGGGATTCCTTAAACTGCCTCTTGAAGTTCAGCAGCAATACACATTTTTGATATCTCTGCATGGGGTTAACTACTATAATCTCAGGGTAAGAGTGGAGAAGTCTCTTCTTTGTTCTCTTCTAATTCTTACATCCTTTATGAGAGGGACTTGCATTGATCGCTGAGGGTGGAAATTATATGAGGATGTTTTGTTGAATGACTTTGAAAATTCTACTTCTGCTAAAATATATGTAATCTCTACATCTGATTTAATATTTTGACAGAGGAGCAATCAGAAATGCTTGTCAGATGTTAATGATTCTAGGCCTTGAAGGAAGATCTGTCTATGAGGAAGATTTTGAAGCCCCATTTTTAGAGATGTCAGCAGAATTCTTTCAGGTACAAAATATGTTTCAAGTGTATGTGACGTTAACTGTTTATTGGTGTTAATCTGTTTAATGAATTTGTTTGGAATTACTTGCAAGTAATCTTTCTAATCATTTCCCCGCCCATATAAGGTTTTCAATTGTAGATATTGACTGCTATGCTGCTTAAAGATTCACTGTCCCAAACATCCAGCAAAAATAAAATGTTATTTGGAAACTAGGAAAACTCTTCGTTGTATCCAATGCTGGTTATGCATAAGCAGAATGGACTTCCACTTATGCAGTGCAACTTTGTCTTCCTCTTCTCCTCCCTGAAACACTTTTTGTGCCCTCAAAATCTGCTCCGGCAGGTAGGGTAGGGGCCCTCCAGAGCATAATTTGGGCTTCAGTGGGAAAGAAGAAGGCGATGTCTCACACTCTCTATATATCATACGGATGGTGTTCTTCTCGCACATGGCATCTTTTCATCTCTGCCGCTTTTCAGTGGGAGCCCCCTTCCATGCATACACTCAGATTCGGGGGGGGGGGGGTCCTTTGGAGTGGAATCCCATAAAGTGCAAGATGCTCCAATTCCAAAGAAAGATAAATATTGCTTCATCCACAGTCCACATAGACACTGGTGCGCAGATGGTGGTGGGAGTGAATCCCAACCAATATCCACAAGGCTGTATTACTGGGTTCTAAACTAGCAAGTATCACAAATTAGGGGGCATGTTCAGAGCTGATGTAGCATAGCTGAATTATAAATTGGGAAATTCCTACTTCAAATCCTGCCTGTGTCGTGGACATGAGGCCAAGCCCCATCCTTTAATCCTCATTGCATACTGTAATATATGAATAATAATACCGGGTTGATGTATGGATTACATCAAGGTAATAGGTATGAAGTCTTATTTCAATTAAAAATGTTTATGGTGGGGGAGTGCATCTGTAGCAATTCTTTCAGAATATTATAGCATCACATGGCGTGCTCTGCTTTGTTCCAATACAGATGGAGAGCCAGAAGTTTTTAGCAGAAAATAGTGCTTCAGTTTATATCAAGAAAGTAGAAGCTAGAATTAATGAAGAAATAGAACGTGTGATGCACTGCCTTGATAAATCAACTGAAGAGCCAATTGTAAAAGTTGTTGAGAGAGAGCTTATTTCCAAGCATATGAAGACTATAGTGGAAATGGAGAATTCTGGTCTAGTTCACATGCTAAAAAATGGAAAAACAGAAGGTAAATCCAGATTATGCTGCTTATAGGCACTGAAGTAGTTTATAAGCATGAAGTGTACTAAATATTTCTTAATATTTATTCCTTTTTGTTAGAATATCTATATTCCTTAGAGATTTCTGTTGAAATATGAAGTGATATATATACTGGGGGAAAACTGTGTTTTCCATTCCCTCAGTAGCGTTATTCTATCTAAAGCTGCCTAAAGAATAATTATTGTGACTAAGCTATGCATACTTCCTACATGTCCAAAGATTTTGTAAGAAATGCCATTTTATTTTAGAAAACTATAATGTCTGTCCCTCATCAATGTTTACTAATGTAAACTTTTTGCTTTGCGTAGTTCCATTAGCAGATTTGTATTAGTGTGTGCTCTGTATGCTTGTGATTGTAACTAATGAGTGAGATGGTAGCTCACCTGAAATGAGTTTCAGCTCAGTTCATTCCTTGCAACAGCAATAAAATGTTATGTATCTCCAAGAAAATTTTTAATAGTTTATGTGGTATTCATGCTTGTTTATTGTGATCAACCAAATTCTAGTTAAATATAATTATATTTACCAATCCTAGTTTAAAAGCCAATGGTCACTTAGCATAACATAGCATTAGGATTCATTAGGGTTTTTAATTTGTAATCTGGCATTAGTTTTATTATATTTTGTTGTTGAATTGGACACTCTGCGCTGATAATTTTTTTAAAATTTAAATTTTAAACATTTATAGCTCTTATATTCAAAGACACTCAATGTGCCATACTGCTGCAGCAAATCACCATAATGATTTTATTATTTAAAATAATATAGCATCCAAAAGGTGAAGAACAAAAATTAAGGTAACATTTAGGACAGGTCTGTTGTGTCTGCTATTCCAGGACAGAAGGAAGTGTCTCACAATGAGACTTCAAGTTAAAATATGAGTTGACAAAAATTTGAGAACACTTATTCTGTTCACCTGCTGTCTTGTGATAGAAATACCATGTTGGTAGTAGTTAATATACTCCCCCCCCCCCATTGCAGATCTTGCTTGTATGTACAAGCTGTTCAGCCGTGTGCCGAATGGTCTTAAGACAATGTGTGAGTGTATGAGCTCCTACCTCCGAGAGCAAGGTAAAGCTCTTGTATCTGAAGAAGGAGAAGGAAAGAACCCAGTTGACTATATTCAGGTAATTAAACCGTACATTTCTCATTTGACCATCTTAATTGAACTTCAGATCTGGCTGCTCTTCTGCCACTGGTGGACTTGCCACAAGAAAGGGCAAACTTTGCTTGACTCCTTTCTTATCCCTGTAGAACTGACAAGACCCAAACCTTCAACATTTCTCAGGACAGACAAAAAAAAAATCACCTGCAGCAGCTAAAGCAGCTAGAATAGAAGCAAAGGAAACCCCACACAGGAGAGTCCATTTGTAAAGATCACACCTCTTAGCAAACAGGTGGACACCATCCTTCTAAAGCAAGTGGGAAAAGTCCCAAGAGATTGTTTGTTGACAAATGGCTACACCAGCCCACTAAAATGCCACCTTGGCAATTTCAGCACTGATCTTCTTTAAGCCATCTGAAGCATCTTGGAATCCTGGGGCCCTGCCTACATACTCCTAGGCAGCATCCTCACCCAAGTCACCTTGGTCTTAGGGAAGATATTCAGGATTTCATTGAAATTGCCCAGTAATCATTGAAATGGACTGCACTCCCAGAACCTTCCCCAAATCATTCTTCCCGGAGTGTAGAACCAAAATACAGAGAGGTGAAGAGCACTTTGCTGTGCCCTAGAAACCATGACACCAAGACCCAAACTGTTGAATGTTTGAATTCTAGGGAAGAGCCAGGACATGCTGCTGCCATTCACTTCCCAGTCCAGTATGTCAGGCTGTTGCCTGTGACTTGGACCTCCAGGAGCAAATACAACCATAATGAAAAAGAGTTGGTGGTGGTGGTTGCAAGATGGTGCTTGAGGTTATACAGGATGCATGTGAACCCTGGTAACATCCTCTTGCTAGCTGTCCTCTGCACTTGAGAAAGAAATCTATACTTAACAATGGTTTTTCTTTCCCATTTAAAATACCATGTTTTTCTAAGCTTTAACCTAATGTCAAGTAAAGTGTTCTAGACACTTTGAAGCAATGAGCAAATGGTTTTCAGTCCTATAACCTCACAGTGGATGTGATTTCCATACAACATATAGTAGAAATCTGTAACATTAAAATATTCAAAAAATAATAATAATAAAATGGTCCAGTAGCACCTTAGAGACCAACTAAGTTTGTTCTGGGTATAAGCTTTTGTGTGCATGCACACTTCTTCAGATACCTAAAAGCTTATACCCAGAACAAACTTAGTTGGTCTCTAAGGTGCTACTGGACAATTTTTTAATTTATTTCGACTGTGTCGGACCAACACGGCTACCTACCTGAAAATAAAAATATTCTTTATTTTTCTAAGGGTTTACTGGATTTGAAGAGTAGGTTTGATCGCTTCCTTCAAGAATCTTTCAATAACGACAGGCTCTTCAAACAAACCATTGCGGGTGACTTTGAGTATTTCCTCAACCTTAACTCTAGGTCTCCAGAGTACCTCTCATTATTTATTGATGACAAGTTAAAAAAAGGAGTCAAGGGAGTAAGTATATTTTCAGTTACAACTCTGCAAATTTGTGACAAAACAACAACATATATTTATGCAAACTTCTGTTCCCTTTCAGTCCTGAAAGTATACTGTTTTTACTTTCAAAATACAATAAGCAGTGTAGTTAAGTGAACAAATTATATGTGCTTGTCAGAATCTTTTGCAACTGCATGAACTATATATGTGTGTAAATAGAGAACTGAATAATTCTTGATTGACTTAACCACTGTTAGTTATAGTTGTTTTTAGAATGATAATGCTGATAATTATTGACATTTAAAAATGACCTATGTTAAAAGGAAAGTGTTACTGGTGGCAGTGTCAGAAGTACTAATGTATGTGTTCTGTTGGGTCTTGCACAGCAATACATCTCCAGCTTACAGTATGATGCCTTCAAGTTCTTTGTAGTTTAGCATGCTGACCATGTAATCAGATTGCTGCCCCCCCCAGCAAAATATGTTCCCATTTAGTACTTGAACTTTTGTCCCCTAATAAGTTACTGTTGCACCAAAAACTTGAAGTCCATGCCTTCGTACGTTTGAAGATATGTCTCCCATTCCCACTTAGTGTTTTATCACAGTGAATCACAGACAGTGTTATTTTGTGAAGTGTGAAGCTGCCCTGAGAAGGCTGTGGCTGCCATGCTACACGCTACCTGAGCGGAGCAGGATTTATTTCTGAGTAAAAATGCATTGATTGTGCTATCAGTGTTTCTTAATTAATAGGATTTTGTGGGCAAAATCTCTAGCGATGGAGATTGGTAGCATTTGGTTGAAAAATAATGTTTTTGTCTTTACAGCTAACTGAGCAAGAAGTAGAGACTATATTGGACAAGGCAATGGTTTTGTTTAGGTTTATGCAAGAGAAGGATGTTTTTGAACGATACTATAAACAGCACTTGGCAAGGAGGCTTCTAACAAACAAAAGTGTTTCAGATGACTCTGAGAAAAACATGATATCTAAGCTAAAGGTAAAGTTAGTCCCTGCAATCTTTTACTTAGTGACTGTTTCCCTTTGTTTCTGGTTTCAGTCCAACATTCATTTGTCATAATTTTAGCTAATGTGGGATCATTGCAGTATGCTATATTTCTAAATACTAAAGGTAGGGCAATAAAAAAATTTCATTGCCAGCAAAAGTCTATTCATACTGTTTTTAAAACTTAAAACTGCAGTATTTGGAACTGCAGTCGATTTTCTGCCAGAAAGCTTGAAAAGCAGGGAGGAGTTGAAGAGGATAGAATAAAGCAGGTAATGTCAATTTTCCCTGTTCACAGATTTTCTGGAACCTCTGGTGCATGGCAAAAGGTTCCTCCCCATTCTCCATCTAAGCTATAGTCCTCTTCCTTATTTTCACAACAAAGTGAATACTTACCTGCTATTCCTTCTTGGAGAAGGATTGAAAAACACCCCACCCTAACCTTCCAATCCATCTTTTCCTCTTCTTTACCCTCCTAAAAAAAGCACTTCATATAATGTGCTTTTTTGGATAGTACAGCTAGAACTAAACTGGGATTTGAAGAATGCAACTGGGTAGAAATTTATAATTTTTAAATTTGAAATCATTTATATCCTGCTTTTCTTCTCAAGACATACACAAATTAAAAAAACGGGTTCAAGCCAGTATACAAAGGCATGTGACTTTATATGCTGACCTGAACCCGTTTTTTCTATTTGTGTATGTTCCTATACAGTGGGTTCTTTATTTTTGTGTTTCCTCTTAAGACAGAGTGGTATTTAATAAAAACATAAACCCAACAATATAAAACAATAGGAGATAGCACGTCATTCAGAATATCTTGGAAGGCTCTAAAGCCTGATTCAAAAGTTGTAACTTTCCTCCTAAACATAAAGAATAAGGAAGACATATTTTGTTATATTTTTTAAAAGATTGGGACAGCAGGTTCTTCTGTTCATTTACAGAACAACTTTTGTTCCCTCCCCCAACCTGGTGTATGGTGTAGTAGTAGTAGTAGTAGTAGTAGTAGTAGTGGTAGTAATATATTTATATCCTGCCCATAAACCATTAAAATCATGACATACTTTTGCATTAATAGTACAACATTTTGGGATGTTTTCTACTGTTGAAACTGATGTTTGGAATCAAACAGAATGTGTTTTGCTTTTTCATATCTTTAACAAGTTCAAACATATTCTCTATATTTTGTAATGTTCTGGTTCCAAGTATGTGGCCTGAAAAAATATGTATAATGGCATATATAATTTTAAAAGAATTGTTCTCTTCTTTTTTATAGACTGAATGTGGATGTCAATTCACATCAAAACTGGAAGGAATGTTCAGGGATATGAGCATCTCAAACACAACAATGGATGAATTTAGGCAACATCTACAGGCAACAGGGGTAAGAAGCTAACTGCTGACTTGATCTGAACACTAATTTCAGTTATTCTAACAAAGTTTTTGAGTCAAACGCCTTTCTGAATAAAATACTGCTTTTTATTTAATTATTTTTAAATTATTTTAGAATAATGGGTTATCTTTTTGCAAGCTAGCAGCCAAAGCAGTTTTACAATTAAAAAAAACCCAGTAAAGTATTCAGCACTGTAAAATACAAAGCAGCAGCAAGATAAAACAGCAACATGTGAACTCAAATAAAGAGAGCAGCTAGTAAACAAATTAGTATTTTTTCCAGCAGAAAACTAACGCTGTATCTTAATTACCGTATTTTTCGCTCTATAGGACGCACCTGAGCAAAGGACGCACCTAGTTTTTACAGGAGGAAAACAAGTTAAAAATATTCTGAATCAAATCAGTGTCGGGGCTGAAGGAGGAAGCCCGGGGTTTCCCCATAAAGCCCCGGCATCCCCAAGCTAGAACAGCGAGACGCTGCGCAGCGCTCCGTCTCGCTGTTCTGGCTTCAGGGACAGGCTTTCAAGCCTCCGCAGGACAGCGGGGTGCCTTCACCCCGCTGCCCTGCGGAGGCTTTGTGCAGCTAACCCTGAAGCCTTTGGAGTGCAGCGGGACCTCGCGCTGTGCTCCAAAGGCTTCAGGCGGCTATCCCTGAAGCCTGGAGAGCGGGTGGGGTCGGTGCGCACCGACCCCTCTCGTTCTCCAAGCTTCAGTGAAAGCAACGCGTAGCCTCCGGAGCATGGAGGGAGTGCTCCCTCTGCGCTTTGGAGGCTTCATGTTGCTTTCGCTGAAGCCAAGGAGTCTGCATTCGCTCCATAGGATGCACAAACAGTTCCCCTTCATTTTTGGAGGGGGAAAAGTGTGTCCTATAGAACGAAAAATACGGTAGGTCAACTACTGAAAGCCCAGAAAAATAGTACAATCTTTGTTGGGTTCCTGAAATATGCAATAAAGGTTGCAGGTGGGTCTTCTTGGGAAATGTGTTCCAAAATTGGAGTACAACCAGAGAAAACATCATCTTCCTGGGATCACCTTGTGCAGGCAGAGGTGCCAAGAGAATGGCTTCCAGTTAAGGTTATATTCAGAGGGCAGCAAGCAGTCTTTCTGATAACCAGAGTATTAACGACAGGAGTGGGGAACTATTTTTCTATTAAGGGCTGTTGACCTACAGAAAAAAGTCTATGGTGGAGCACATACCAGAGTGAATTCTTGTATTGCTAAGTGGGTTGTTTTACAGGTTCTTAATTATATTATACACAATAGATAGATAGATAGATAGATAGTACTGCCAAGGAAGATGGTTCTGGGATGTTACCCTCTTGAGAAGCTCTGGCTACTCAGGTTGGGATCCATTGCTTAACAGGAGCAATATAACCATCCCTGCAGAGAGAAGCAGGTAAAAGCTGTTTGACACTGGAACGAACTCCCTCGGGAGGTTGTGGACTCTCCTTCCTTGGAGATTTTTCAGCAGAGGTTGGATTGCCATATGTCCTGGATGCTTTAATTGAGATTCCTACATTGCAAGGGGTTAAACTAGATGACTCTTGGGGTCCCTTCCAAATCTACAATTCTATGAGGACACCTGCTCCTTTCAAGGAATGGATGAATGGAAATAGATATTTCCAACATTTTATAAAGTAGGTGACCCCAGTCACTGGGCTCTGTGTGAGCAACTTGTTCCAGGTAAAAACTGGGTTAGCATGCTTACTTTGAAGTAACTCCTCCCAAATATTGCTAGCGGGTGGGAGTGTCTTATCTTTTATGCTATTCTCAGCACAGAGCATTACCTCGGTGGTGAAGAGTCCATAGAAAAGTTGGGAGGCTGATGAAATTAAGTAGGGGGCTGTAGGTTCCCTGCTTTTAGTTTGGGGCTTTGAAGGTTAAAACCAACACATTGAGCTGCATCTAGAAATAAACTAGGAATCGCTGGAGTTAAGAAGTAATGTAATATTCTCACAGTGCCAAGCTCCTGTCAGCAGCTTTACTGCTGTCTTCCAAACCAGCTGAAGTTTTTAATCACTTTTCAAAGGCAACCCCAAATATAACACAGTACTTGATTCAAAAGTCACACACTTCTGTAGGAAAAAATATGTCCAAACTTCCAGTCAGGACTCCACTACCACTTCCTGAGGCAAGAAATTAATCCTTGGTGTCTTTGCACCTTGTTCTGCCTGCAATAAAGTCTCCTTGGGAAATGGGTATATTCTGTAAATAAATCCTTACTCTGTCTAAATCCTTTTTATCCCAATTACAGGCATTTAGAATAATAATATATTCATCATTACCTCCCCAGTTTGGGAGTGAGTCATTTTGTGTCCCTGCTGTTTTTCTTGGATGTAGTAGGCATTTCCCAGGTTTCCTCTGGGGATCTGTAGATCTCTTTGGCCTCTTTCAACAAGCACAGAAAGTACCATCCAAAATTGGATGCCCATTTAAATAATTTCATCATTCTTTTGCGGGCCTGCAATTGGAACACAACTTAAATTCTTTAACAAATCAGATAGAACAACAATTCAATAAATTTTATATTGTTCCTGGGTAATTACCCAGCATTTGTTAAAATCATTGAATACTTTTGAATTTAGAAACAGACATTGATTCAGATTTCAGTGTAGACAGACTTATGAAAGTATATGAATTGGCTTTACCTTGATTTTTCATTTTATCAGCATTTCATTTTGTATTCAGTTTACTGACTTTAAATACATATGTGAATAGAATTGAACTGATTTTGTGTTGGTTCTTTGCTTTGTGTATGCAATTTCAGCTATTCCTCTTCCGCCCTGCTCTGTTTATAGTTTTGGATCATTGTTTTTTCTTCTTTCCCATTTGTTCTCTAGTAATTAGACACGACTGATTTCCCTCCTGCCACTTGCTCCCCAAGGGAAGCAGCAGCAAAGAGAGAGCTGTGCTGGGCATTATTACGACAAGCTGCATATATAACTCTTTCGTTCTCTTTTATATTAAGGACAGAGACCTGTACTCAGGTCTAAAAAGTTATTTGTCCATTTGCTATAAATTCAGCAGCTTTGTATGTATTGTGCATATTGTGGAGGAAAATTGGAATTTTCCTTTATGGAATTTATTTTGCAATTTGTGAGAGCTCTGTGCAGGAAGGCAACAGAGGAGAGGAAGCTGGTGGTGAGAATTGACAGAAGAGGAATATGACTTAAGTTCAGTTACAGGGACTTAGGCTGGGATTCAGTAAGGGATGAAGTATTGGAAAAGGGAAAGACCAACATCACTACTGTAGCTTGCAAAGCAAAGTGTGGCAGAAGGTGAGAGCTGCAAAACTGGCAATGCCAACCCTAGGAAGAGAGGATAGTGTGTGGCATAATCCTAGGGGTGACCACCAAAAAACTGAGGATTGTATACAACTGGATAAACTGGATGTGAGACTCTTTGGAGGATGAATTATGTGGCCAGTGCTTTATTCTGGTTCCCACAGAATCATGGGGCTTCCTTGCTTTTTAAGGACAAAGGAAAACAGAGACATGCAGTACACAGGGATTTCCTTCATCACCCATCCCCACCAGCACCTGGTAGCTTTGGGATCTTGTAGCTCTAACACTAAAAGGGCGATGGTGTGATCCTAACAAGAGAAGCCACCTTCAGGACAGCCATGTTTTCATTGCATAGTACTAATGGCATTGCTGCCTTCTGAGTTCCACAAGAGGTCAATATTTGTAGCATTGCACTGTGGAAATTGAAACATTTGTGAGGCAATAAATTGATGGCCAGTTAGAGCCCTTTCTAGAATATGTGCTACTTTTTGATTGAAGAAACATTTTGAATCTTAAAAACAAAATCTGTTAACTGAACTGCTTCACCAGCAGGTGGCACACACCTGCTTTTTGTTATTAAAATAATGAAATACGATTAAACTTCTGGCAGTATTTTTGTGAGCGCTGTGACCTTTTGTAGTTCATGCATTAAAAAAATAAAAGCATCTGTGTCATCAGAGTTTTAATTTTCAGAACCCCTCTGTAACAGCTTAGCTCATTGGATCAAACTGACTTTTGTTACCTGATATCAGGACCTATTGATAACATCATTTTAAAGACTGTTTGGTTAAAGGCCAAAATAAATGACCTGTAAAATCGGGCTAATAGCTGAGAGGGCATATTTAAATTGGGGAAACGGTGCAAGGAAAGGGTTGAACCTCCCCCTCCCTCCAACCTCAGGATCATATTGCAGTTGTCCCCCCACCTCCACCCCCATATCATTTCTAAATAAATTAGAGATTGCTTACATCTCCCATCTTTCAATGTCTCATCTACATAGGCTCTCAAATTATAATTTTGTAGCATGTCAAAACAAATATTGTACTGGAATTATAATTAGATCAGAATATTGACTGTAAAACCTAAGCTTGTTTCTATTAAAAAAGTATTAAGAATATAAAGAGCCCTGCTGGATCAAACCAAGGATGCAACTGCTTCCAATAGTGCCCCCCCTATGCTCCCAAAGGGGCCCTCAAGCATGAAGGTATTAGGCTTCCTCTATTCTTAGTCCTCAGCTTCTTGAACTCAAAGCTATGCTGCCTCAAAATCGAGGCCTCTGAATATGTTTAACTATCCTGGCATATGAAACAATTAACAATTAATTTCAATAACTATTTAAAGAATATTTAATTTCAGTAACATGCCAAATATTAAGCAATTGTCAGAAGATCAAAGCACCTGCAGAATGAGTGCACAGATAGATGTAAACAGTAAATAAGACTTAGCAAAGTCTTCAAAAGTGGAAGCAGTAATATGAAACAGAGAAAGTGCTGATATGCATAAATGTAGTTCCATTAACCTCAGCCAACATGGGGACAGCATAAGTGATCTTCAGAACTTTCCCCCCTCCATCCCCCAAATAATCCATGCCAAGGGTTTCCATATGCGCGCACTCCCTCTGCGCTATACACACACAACACACACACACGTGTGTGTGTGTGTGTGTGTGTGTGTGTGTGTTGAACTGATGGGAATTGTGGTTCAGAGGGCCAAGGTTTCCTCACATTAGTTCTATGATTTCCTCAGTTAGCCGTTGCAGCAGTTCAGAATAGCAACTTTTTATGATCAGATAAGCACTTTCTCTCTGTTTTGGACTTGGGTAAATCCTTCAGTTCATGCCTGTCTTGGCCCCCATCTGGTTAAGTACCTATAGAATGTGGGAGAAGAAAACTCAGTAGCCTCTGCAATTCCTATCACTGCTCTCCCTTGCAGGACACAGTACTTGCATAATTCCTGTGCTGTGTTTGTTTTTTGTTGGTCCATCTCTTAACATTTCACTACACATTATACATCCTTCACTGACACTCTCCTCCCACCAGAAAACCTCTCTATTATCTCCATGTGTCTGGGTTGCCCTCCTATGCCCTTCTGAATTTCATAGAAAGTGTAAATTCTCCTGCTTCCACCTAAGGCTCACTTTGCACATACAAGTTTTTCTGCTGTACCCTACACCCTTGAATACCAGCTTCTAATGATTTTGCTTAATGAAATTAAGGCAGCCACATCTGCCTTGAATAGCAAGCTATGTTATTTCCTGCCATGTGGAAGACAAAAAATAAAAAATAAACCAATGTTTGTCTTTGTATTCATGCAGGTCTCATTAGGTGGTGTTGATCTGACAGTGCGGGTTCTCACAACAGGCTACTGGCCTACTCAGTCGGCCACACCAAAGTGCAACATTCCCCCAGCCCCCAGACATGCTTTTGAAATATTTAGGAGGTAAGGAATGGTTAAGATTATTTGTGTGAATGGTTAGTGGAATGATGTGTTTTTTAAAAAAGAAAGAAGATACAGCTAATGGCCAGATAATCTGCATGCATTAAATGCTTCTTTATATGCATGCAGTTGAAGCTTGCTTGCCATGTTATCAGTCACAAAATAGTAATCTTCTATATTGATATAGCAGAAGCTCTTGCTTCCATAGTTAAAAGTATAGATGATCAAATGGCCATTCAACCTCTTGAATTTTGTAGATTTTATTTAGCCAAACATAGTGGAAGGCAGCTGACACTCCAGCATCATATGGGCTCTGCAGATCTCAATGCCACCTTCTATGGTCCTGTTAAAAAGGTAAGTGCTGGGTCTGTAAACATATTATTGCTTTGAATTGTGCCTTCAGCTCTTGTGAACTTAGAAATAAAATTCAGTTCCACATACATTTCAGTCTTTCATATATAAGCTCATGTTAACAATACTTACCACTTTTAATATATATAGTCAGCTGTGTGTATGTGTGTGTATGTGTGTGTGTGTACACACACACACACACACCGTCTAGCACTGCAAATTTCCCAGAATAGCCCTCTCTGAAAATATATATATTTTCATCTTTCTGGCAGGTTTCCTTTGCTTCTGGCTCTCAGTGGAATTATAGTTCACTTTGAGAAGCTGTGGGGTATCAGAAGCTGTGGTTGTCATAATGTGTAAAGTTTGACATTAAAAAACTTACCCAATTTACGTATGCTAAGAAACTGCACAATCTTGACTCAGTTTTGTGAAAGCCTATTTGTCAGATGCTATGGTGACTTGGATCTTCAGCTGGCTTATTACAAAGCAAACAGCCGTATAAGCTGTTTTGCTTTTTAATGGCAAAACTAATTATATAAACTGGGATAAAATGGAATGGGTATCTCAAAATGAAAATCTTTGTTTTGTATTTACAAGTAGATGAGTCAGATCATGACTTATACCTGATAGTAAGTACATAGAAAGCTGAAAGAAGGAGCATAACATAATGTTCCGAGAATGATTTTTGACTTTTTTGAAAATTAAAACAGGAAGATGGCTCAGAGGTTGGTGTAGGAGGCGCCCAAGTAACTGGCTCTAACACACGGAAGCACATATTGCAAGTCTCCACTTTCCAGATGACGATACTAATGCTCTTTAACAACAGAGAAAAATACACTTTTGAGGTATGAGCTGTGACTTTCTCTGCTAGCTGTAAAATTTTTAACTTATCTCCCAAATATGCATTCATCTTCCTCTACCGTATGGAGAAGAGGGATTATTCATCCCTTTGAGCCATTTGTACAGGAAGTTCTTGAACTATTGGTATATGAGGCTGCTAACACTTTTACAGTATTTTGGAATCTTATTGGTCCTCATCCAGGAATACCCTCACTTGTTAGTGAAAGTCTGAGATTGTATCATTCATTATATACTTATATACTTAAATACTTCTTGGGTTCAGCTCTAAAAATAATTTATGTTTCAAAGCCCTGTGATTCAAGGAAGATTTTAAAATTCCTTTGAATTGTGTTGGGTGAAATTCAAGTGTTGGAAGCCGAAATATATTTATTTACAGTATTTACTGATAGTAATCACATCTTTTTCATGGTGTGTATTTTTCCTAATGGATACTCATTTTTTACTTGCCATGTAATGATGTGGAAAACAAATCCTTAGTTACCATCTTGCCACCATGTGTGTGTGACAGTAGTACTTAAGTGAAAGTACTCTTTAAGTGTCACCACACAAGGTGAATTGATACATTGTGAAATTAAACAAAATCAAGCAGCCTGAATGTTAACAGTTTGTGGACAGGAAGTCTAGTTGCTACTTCCCCTTAAAACTATATTTAAATCAAAGGAAATGCAATCCTGTAATCAAGCAATTACCATTCTTTTCTAGTTTGATGTTTTAATATATTTTGTAAAAAATCTTGTTCTTATATAGACACTAATTGCTGAGCACCATGTTCAAGTGACAAGAGTATTTCCTGGACGGGAACGCTTAAGTCTGCAGGTGCAGGAATTGCATTTTTGAATGCTCCCCCCACATTTAAAAAGAAAAATCCTTACATGTAGAAAATGAGGGAATCTGGGAAGGGTTTCTAGCAGCCTTCTTTCAGTGCTTCTTTATAGTAAGGAAGCCTTTTACAAGGAACTCTCACTACTTCCTATCTCCTACCTGGAGTCTGAAGTGGTATAGTTCAGAGGGACTCTTCAGCACACCTGTGCCAAGAGGGAAGGGCCATGGCTCAGTGGTAGAACACATTCCTTTAATGCAAAAGGTCCCAGGTTCAATACCCAGTATCTCCAGGCAGGGCTGGGAGTGACCTTTGTCCGGAACCATAGAGAGCCACTGTCAGTTAGAATAGACAGTACTAAGCTAGATGGACCACTAGTTTCACTTGGTATATGTAAAATTTCCTATACTCCTATATGCTGAACATATAGATCATCCTACTCCTCTACAGATTTGTGAACAAGGTGTCCTGTGCTACAGTAACTTGCACAGTTGAAGTTTATATAGATTACTGTATTAAGTGATAAAATTAAGTGCTGAAACACAATGCTGTCAACTTTTAGTTTAGAGTAACTTTCATTTTTTTCTGTAAATAGCCTTTTCAGCTATGAATTATCTATAGATTTACTGCCAGATGTTTTCTGAATTTGTCAAAATAACCATTGATAGTCTTGAACTAGTTTGATTAGAGGGGGAAGACATCTTCAAAACTGTTCTGAATTTTGTTTTCTTCATAACTACCTTTTGCCATCATAATAATAATAATAACTTTATTATTTATACCCCACCCATCTGGCTGTTAAATTTAATGTAGGAAATACAACAAGAGACTGATATCCCCGAAAGAGAGCTTGTACGAGCGCTACAGTCCCTTGCGTGTGGAAAGCCAACACAACGGGTTCTCACAAAAGAGCCGAAATCAAAAGAAATAGAAAATGGACACATATTTACAGTGAATGACCAGTTCACATCCAAACTGCACAGAGTCAAGATTCAAACAGGTATGCTCACTTTCATTTTCAGCTACCACATCTAGAATCTGTCCAACTCCTGAATTTACAATATTGGAATCATACATTCTAGTATGGAAACTAAACTGGTCACCCATTCTTATGGGTGCCTTCAAAGAACTAATATATTCTTGAACCAATGCTTGCCTCAGTGCAAGCTGGATAGGATTCTGTTATGTATCTTCTATTTGTGATCCTTTCCATGTCATGTACTGTGGATAATATAAATATTCATAAAGCCATAGCCTTATAGTTCCAGGTGGGTGTTTAACTTAATAAACCAGGCATATATTTTGTGAGCTTTATGCTTGCGCATCCTTAAAGCCTTCATTTACTTCAGACATGAGAGCCCTTCTGTATCAGCCAAAAGACCCATCTGGTCCGGCATCCTGTTTTTACAATAGCCAACCAGATGCCTATAGGAAGGCCGCAAGCAGGACCTGAATGCAACAGCACTCTCTCTGCTTGTAATTCCCAGCAACTGGTATTCCAAGGCATACTGCCTCCGACAGTGGAGGGAGAACATAAACCATCATAGCTAATAATCCTTAGTAGCCTTTTCCTTTCTTCTTGACTAGTATATGGGGACACGGGTGGCGCTGTGGGTTAAAGCACAGAGCCTAGGACTTGCAGATCAGAAGGTCGGCGGTTTGAATCCCCGCAATGACGGGGTGAGCTCCCGTTGCTCGGTCCCTGCTCCTGCCAACCTAGCAGTTCAAAAGCACGTCAAAGTCCAAGTAGATAACTAGGTACCGCTCCGGCGGGAAGGTAAATGGCGTTTCCGTGCGCTGCTCTGGTTCGCCAGGAGCGGCTTAGTCATGCTGGCCACATGACCTGGAAGCTGTACTCCGGCTCCCTCAGCCAATAAAGCGAGATGAGAGCTGCAACCCCAGAGTCAGTCACGACTGGACCTAATGGTCAGGGGTCTCTTTACCTTTACCTGACTAGTATATAGTTAAACTGATTACCAGTGATACTCAGGATACTCATACAAAATGAAAATGGAGATGGATCCAAATTGGAAGGGAAATGGAAACCTAAAATGAAGAAGTAGGCTAAAGATCCACTGACAGCAGCTACAGATGTAGGGATATGCAGATAGAAAAATCATGTTATGACAGACAATGCTACCCTTTTAGACTTTGTGAACTACTTATGCTAGGAAAGCTTCATGATTATAGCAAATGCAAAGACCCAGTTCTCTTACTGTCTCAGTAGAAACTGGCACTTCAACAAAGCAAGCTAAACTAGCCCCAGAGGTTGTATTACATAACTTATTTCCATGTGTGACTGAATATATGAAACCCAGTGTTATCCAGAATTGCAATTTAACAAATGTGAAGGAACCTTTTAAATGCATTCAGTTGTGGTCTAAAAATATCAAATCCCTCAAGAAGCATTTGACCTATTTTAAAACTTGTTGCTGTAACGAATAATCATTTATTAATCTTAAATATGTTCCAATTTTGCACTTTGGTTGGTTGTTCTTTTGCATCAGGTATTTCAAGTATTTATTGACACTGCTAAAGAAAAATATTTTGACTTTAGTATCTTTAGAATTAAATAGCTACAGTATTTCTAAATTGAGATATTTCTTCTATTCTTTCAGTTGCTGCCAAACAAGGAGAATCGGACCCAGAAAGAAAAGAAACAAGACAGAAAGTAGATGATGACAGAAAACATGAGATAGAGGCTGCTATAGTCCGGATAATGAAATCTAGGAAGAAGATGCAGCATAATGTTCTAGTAGCAGAGGTAATCTCACTCACTGAATGGGGTTAGTCAAGGGTGGATGTGGCCTGTAGACCAAAAGGGTTAGCCACCTCTGTTGTAGAGCAGTGTCAACTGTGTAATAAAAATAAATTGCTGCTGAACTCTTGAGGCTACTAACTACATCTTTTGGTACAGATGATTGGTTGCTTTATAGAATGTTGATTAATATGCAGTAGCCTTTTGTGAAACACAGCTAACTGAGGTGGCACAAGTTCCCTCTTGTTTTAAAGTCAGTGTTAAGTCTAGTGTGTGCATTCTTGCTGTGTCAGTATCATTAACAATATTAAAATAATTTTTATTATATTCCAGGTAACCCAACAACTGAAGGCACGATTCCTACCAAGTCCAGTTGTTATTAAAAAGCGTATTGAAGGACTTATTGAGCGTGAATATTTGGCACGAACACCTGAGGACCGCAAAGTATACACTTACGTAGCATAAAATGTGTTCCGCAAATATGATTTATTCTTGGACTATACTCTTCGCATGAACTGGGAAGTTCTTTTAAATCATTAAATATTAAGACGACCATCTCTTCTATTAAATTACAATACATGTTCTAGATCATTCAGATCAAGCCTTTTCTCCTTCGGAGAGTTTTTCAACATCAAAATGATTGAGCTTCAAGCTTCTCAGCGTTTATCCCAGTAGAAATCATCCTTACAGTTCCTCGGGAAAATGTGAATGTGCCGCGTTTTGTTTTCAATACTGTATGAAAACAGGAAAAAAATAAAATAAAAACAAATTTAGAAAATACAGCTCATTAAAAAATAAAATTGTTGGAATTTCATTTCCCTGGATCTTCAGTGTTGATGTAAATGTGTTTTCTGTAGTGTTGCTTAGCACTTTGCGCATTGTATATGTTGGGTTACAAGAAAAACACAGCTGGTAAGACTGAATTTCCAAAAATACTGCTCTGCTTTGGACATTTCTTTAAAGAGCCATGTTTAATTTAAATATTTGGTGAATTTATAAAGACCTGAGAACACAGTTTTGGCATGCTTTACTTCTCCACCTGCATTCATTCATGTTCCAGCTAATATGATCAGGAACCTTTTTTCTGGGCACAGTTATGGGCTGTAATATTTGGCCTTCCCTTTTGTAATTTGAGTTCTTCCAAATTAAGTTACATACTGATTAGGTTTGATCTGGTTCCTTTATAGGAGAAATGGGAAGAAATTTAGTGTGTATAAACTGTATGATACTTTTTGCTGTTGTACTCACTGCTCATAGTGGATTGTACAGAGCGATGTTTTTATTTCACTCAATGTAGACAAAACAAATTTAAAATAAATGGATTTAGTGTACAAGGAGCACTAATTCAAGTGTATTTAGAGCACAGGGATGGCAATTTATTAAACTAAATATTGCCCCTTGGAGAAGCACATTAGCCTGCACTCTATTCACGAAGTAGAGAGGGGGTTATGGCTTTTGATTTCCCACTTTTCAGAAGGTTCAAGTGAAGCCATTGTGCACTATTAATTTACTGTTTTAAAATGCAATCTAAAAATGCAATAAATATTGTTACTTTGATCTTAATGAAATCTCCAGTTCTTACAGCAAGTATTTTCTCCCTCTCCTCAGGGTGGTTCAGCATAACATTTGCTCCAGTGCTTTCAAAACCAGGGTATTTCTTAGAGGATGTTCGTAAATGTTAACTTTATGTAGTCCCTGTACCATATAACATACATCTTTTGCATCAAATAACTATCTTCTTTAGAGATCACCCTCAAGTTGCCACTGGTGAATTAAATCTAGCTTTATTTCATGCATAGTAATAGATAACCTCTCAGATGTTACAGCTCTGATTGTTTTCTCTGTAACATTGTGAACTTAAAAAACAAAACCAGTGCAGCATGAAAAAAGTTGAAGTTTTTTGGTGGGGAGATGCAAATTCCCTGCCTGTTATGTGTTGGTCCCTTGTAAAGGGGTCTGTATTTGAGCAATATTCACCTAGCAATCCATGTTGGTCTCTGTCAGGGTGAACTGTACAGCTAGTGCGAGTGAGAAGGGAAAACTTCCAAGAACTCAGTTGAGCATTTTGCTGTAGTATATTTGTATGCTTACTTGAATATATAACAAATACCGTTTTTGTAGAATAGCTGCTACTTAGCAGGTGTTTAGCACATCTGCAATGTTTCTCCTATATTGTCAGTTATCCTTATGATGATGTAGTAAAGTAAGTCAAAAGAATGATGGGAAAGAGAAATTGAAAGGGGGGATTGTAGAGGGGGAAATCTGAAAGGCAAAGGTAAAGGGTAAAGGGACCCCTGACCATTAGCTGATAAATAAAAGTGGTTCTGTGACACAAGCTGTTTGAAGCAAACACAGATAAAATGCATAGGCTTCAGCAGCAACGAACTGAATATATTTATACCTTCCCAAGATTTCCCATCCAATCTTTTAAAAGTACCGGTAACTTAAGATTGCAACCTATACTTACTTGAACATGAAGATGAGTGCTCTTAATATTTCTCATTGTTTCTTATTGAAGCTACTACTGTTTGCTGATCATGTTCACTACATGAATTAGGCAAGTTTGCTTTAACATTCCTTTTTTGTAGTATTGTTAGCATGCCATTTCCTTGCATTCAATTCTTTTCATAAGCTTGAAGGGCATGGATTTGCTAGGGAATTTATAACAAAGTCGGCAACAAGCATGCTAATTTAATTAGCTGTAAATTTAAGAACTGTATCTGGCAGACTTCTCATTGTGACTGAAGTTTAGCTGCTGCAAGATAAACTTTACTTTTCTCTATAAAGCCACATCCTGTCTGCCCTATCTTTCAGTAGCCATTTGCTGATAGGAAGGAAGCAGTGTTGTCTTATTGCACTGTTTCAGGCTCTAGGGCTGATAAACAGCCAGTAAGATGCCCCTTAAGGGACTGTTGTGTCCTATTGAATAAGGTATTCACAAGATACAAGATACATCTGCTCTGCAGGTGAGGACTGGGATATGGCTGCCTGCTGGTGCAAGCTGATAAGTTTTCCCCTATGCAAGTGTATAATGGGGACCTATAAACGTGATCCTGTGATCTAGTGTCTGAATGCAAATAGGGCCAGAAGCTTATACATTTGAAAAAACATTACCCACAAGCTATTTGCCCTGCTGAGGAAAATGTATTGAGTTCAACCTCCCACCCTAGTATGCTGTTTAAAAAGGTATATGTGGAATGGGGATCTGCTTCTAGATTTCCTGCACACCATCTAGTTTAACCTTTAGATTGTTGCCAATTTATATTAAAGCTGAATAATACTCTATTGTGAACACTGTTTCTAGAGGTTTTGGGAGGTGGGTGAAGGAGTTTTTTTTTAAGTTTTCCTTGCTCAACCCATTTGCTTTGACTCCTGTTTACAGTCTTGGCAGCATTTGCAAATCCTACTACTTCTTCCCCATTATTCTGTGTCAATTAGGGCAGAAAGCATTGTGTCCACTCCAGATATACTTCATGATGATGCCACATAGAATCATTCTAGAGTTGGAAGGGATCTTGCGGGTCATCTAGCCCAACCCCCTGCTGTGCAGGGATCTCAACTAAAGCATTCATGATAGATGGCCATCCAACCTCTGCTTAAAAACCTCCAAGGAAGGAGAATCCACCTTCTGAGGGAGTCCGCTCTACTGTCAAACAGCTTTTACTGACAAAAAGTTCTTCTTGGTGTTTAGTCGGAATCTCCCTTCTTGTAACTTGAAGCCGTTGGTTCAGGTTCTACCCTCCAAAGCAGGAGAATACAAGCTTGCTCCATCCTCCATGTGACAGCCCTTTAGATATTTGAAGATGCCTATCAAATATCTACCATTTCAGATTTTACCAGTGTAGCAGAAGTGAGCGTTGTTACACCATCACTGCTGCTAACATGAGTAAGCAGTTCCAATTATATGGGTGTGGGGAACATTTGGCCCTCCAGATATTGCTGAAATATGGCTCTTATCAACCCCAGCAAGCTTTACCAATAAATACGGCCAATAGGAGCTGAAGTTCAGCAACATCTGGAGGGCCAAAGTTTTCCCACACCTGCTATTACAGGTGTTAACAAAGAATTGCCAAAAGGTTGGGGGGGGGTCCTTCTTGCATCAAGTAGACAAGTTGGGACATGTTTTGACTCAGCCTCTGTGAACATGTTTATTTTCTATCATTAGACAATGCTATAGTGCTGTTTGCTAGCACAGAGCCAGCAAAGGGTATCCACTATCTCTCAGGAGGCATAGACAGCCATTCTGGATAGAACTACAAAAAACAGACCCTCAAATCTATAATGTGTTGAGACAAAGTTTTTCAGTCCTGTTAAGATCAAATTACACTTCCTAAAAGCAAACTCTTAACCATATGAAAGAACCTTCCTTGAAAAAGGATCCCTCTTCAGCATGGGAGGAAAATCGTTAAAATCACATTTGTTTGAATCCAGCACAGTAAATATGAAAACTGCAAATACTGTAAAGATGCCTACATAAAGTTCTGATTGTGTTAATGTGCAACTTTAGAGTAAATTAATGCAGCTTGTTTTCTGTACTTGGTGTTTTTGTCATGCTTACTGTAAACCTTATTCTGCTTTGTTTCTGAGCTCCATACAGCTTTTCCCTTAAAATGGTTGCTGCACTTTTATATTATTAAAGCAGTGATTGACATGTTCTGCTTAAAAGTGGGGTGTTTTAGAAGGCAATGATACCATAACTTTCCACAGAATTCCAATTTCTATGCAGCTACTTGACAATAACATTTGAAGCCTCTAAATGACAGAACAGCCCTCTCCCATCATAGTATTGTGACAAGAACCCACTATCATTTGGTGATGGAGGCTGGTTTATTGGAGAAGTAATCTACTGAGACACCTAAAATTATACTGTAGAGCAATCTGCCAAGGCAGGTTTGCAATTATGTCACAAAACCTTTTGTAGAGCATTACGGGAGGAAATGCAGGGTTACCTTCAATGCATATTAAATTGTGGCTTTACCCTTTGTTGTGGAGCTGACACGCAGAGCTACATAGAATATTAACATGCATTGGATGAAAGTTACAGATGAGATGGAAGGTAACATGATCCTGAAGACTTTGTTTGAAACTAGGGTTGACTGAAATTTAGTTGATTGTTTGCTTTAGTGGGTTAGCCAGTTTATTGGTTAAATCTGCAAACATTTGCATAATATAGTTCTGAAGGGAGAAAGGTTTACTTTGAGCCAGAATCAATGAAGCAGGTGTGCTAGCATGAGCCAGAGCAACAGAACTTATCCCACCCACCATCCACCCCCATGCTGCCAAAATTAGCATTTGTAGAATTTCTACACATTTTTTCAGGTGGAGCACATTGTATTCTTTGAAATGTGCACATCTTCATTTTAATTATTGCCATGTCTGTGGATGGAATGTAGACATGCATAATGCTCAAGAATTCTGCACCTGAGGACAGGCCTGCATATCTTTGACCATATCTCAAAGATGATAGCTTCCATCATTTAAACGGATCAATAGATCATTCACAATACTTGCAACTTGAGCTATATCCAATCAATAACAAGCAGCCAGACAAAATTGCACAACTTGCCCTGCGTTTTGCAGATTTATTTACAGCCTGCACTTAGTGCTGTCCTGTAAATGCTTTCTTAACTGCTGTTGGAAGATATTTTACTGTCCCTCAGCCCAGTTTTACTACTTAATGTAAACTAAAACACTTTTCTCCAGTGGAGGCTATGTTAGGTCATATTATGAAACTTTTGCTTCTAAGAGCATCCATGTGTTTGAGAATGTCAGAATCTAGTGAATGCATCGTCTGAGCAAGTTTGCACATGCATGAGCATCATGAAGTAATTATGGTATCAAGTGATGACTGGCATATTTGAAAAAACCAGCACAGGGTGGATAGGACACTTCTGTAATAACAGCTTTGGTGGAGGCATTTCACCTATTGAGCTACAAGTAATTCATTGTCAAGAGCTTGGGTGGCACCTTGTTGGATGATACATAAATGGATGGATAAGTAAGGCATTAGTGAACAATTCGATGTGGGAATGAAAAGCATGAATTCTGCAAATGGTCTGAGAAACTTTGGGGCCAGACTAACCTACAATATGGAGTGGGGAACCTCAGGCCCCACAACCAAATACAGCCTCCCAGGCTTCTTTCTCTGGTTCTTAGGGTGCTCCCAAGAATATACCTCCTCCTCAGATCAAAAATCTCAAAAAAGCTATCCCTACACCTTTCTTGAGTGATTTTGACCAGCCGAGATGTGACAATGTCCCTTTCTTTCTTAGATGGGTAATGGTGGAGTGGCAGGGAGCAGGTGATTCTTGTGTTGCTGGAACAGCCTTCTCTATAAAAGTCATCCACTTTTTTGCCTTTGGCCCCCACCACTACTGGCATGTGTAGGGGAGCAGGTAGCGCTATGGTCTAAATCACTGAGCCTCTTGTGCTTGCCAATTGGAAGGTCAGGAGTTTGAAGCCGTACGACGAGGTGAGCTCCTGTTGCTCTGTCCCAGCTTCTGCCAACCTAGCAGTTCGAAAGCACGCCAGTGCAAGTAGATAAATAAGTACAACTGTGGTGGGATAGTAGACGCCATTTCCATGCACTCTGGCACTCATCAGTGTCCTGTTGCGCCAGAAGCAGTTTAGTCATGCTGGCCACATGACCCGGAAAGCTGTCTGCGGACAAACGCCGGCTTCTTCGGCCTGAAGTGAGATGAACACCGCACCCCATAGTCACTTTTTACTGGACTTAACCATCCTGGGGTCCTTTGCCTTTACCTTTTACTGGCATGTGGCCTTTGGGAGGCCCTTTGGCTCTAAATGCTTCCTTGCCCCTGCTATGATATGTGCGCCACTGTATCCGCGTCTGGGTATCCTTGCAGAATAGCAGTGCCTGCAGAACAGGCGAGTTGCAGGGTTAGAGAGGAGCGAGTCAACATTGCCTTGGATGGTCCGCCAACCGCCGGCGTGTGGCCCTCAGGATCTTTGGCCCAAAAGGACCTGACTCAAGTTCCCCAGCCTGTGGCAAGGATTCGGCCTAGCGCCGCCTGGTGCGCCACGCAGGTGCCCCACAACCCCCAGCGACCTACGTATGGCCCTTTCCCCTCCCTGTTTTAGTAAAGGGGGATTTGGGACTGGCTGAGGGGCAGCTTCGCTCCTGAGGCGGCCGCGTCCGCCCCCCCCCCCTCCTGCGAGCAGATGCTAAAACACGGCGCGGGCGCGCGCGGGGAGCGCGGCGGTCCCGCCTCCGAGTGGCGCGCGGAGAGGGCGGGCCGTGGCTTGGGCAGAGGCGAAGCCGGCGTCCCGGCTCACTTGTTGCAGGATGGGCTGCAGGCGCGCTTGGCCGAGGAGGCGCAGGAGGCTCCGGGGCGCCTTTCCGGCGCAGGCACCATGGAGCCGGGCGCTGGCTCTGTCAGGTAGGCGCGGGGCTGCCGGAGTAAAGCGCTGGAGCCGCTGGCCCGAGCGTTTGTTGTTTGGTATCCAGGCTGCGGCGCGTCTCTTCGGACTCCGCCGTTGCTCCTTCCTGTATCTCGAGTCCCTTTCCTGCCTTTTCTCCAGCCAGGATGCGTGGTGGGTGCTTTTCCCAAGGAGACGGGAACGATAGGCGTCGCCTGTTGGGTTTTCCTCCCGGCAGGGGGGTGTGTGTGCTCCTTTAACCCCCCACCCCAAAGGTCACGTTGCCCACTTTGTTGCCCAGGCTTGCCAAAAACTTAAAATACAGGCTCCTCCAGCCCTTCCTAGTCTCTCAGGGAACTGAAGAGCGCTATGGTGGTTGTTTATCCACCGGATGGAAGTTGGGAGCAGGAAAGAAATGCAGCTTTAAATATTTTACTTTGTAAAAGTGGCGTGAGTCTGTTTTTTAAAGTTTTTTTCAGGGTCGTTTTTCGTAGGATTCCTTGTTTAATTGGTCGTCCCCCCCCCCCAATATTTTTATTTATTGTGTATTTTTTAGTCAGTGTGTTTAAATATTTAGCCTGCCTTGGGTCCTGCACTGCGAAAAGGTCGGCTGGGCTAAGCGAGATATAAAATCAGTCAATCAATCAATCCATTAATAAAATCCAGCTTTTTCAGACCCAGAAACCACCTTTAACCCACTGGCAGTGCTGCTGTTGTGATCCACCTTCGATCAGGCTGTGTGACCTGGCAGTGGGTCACTTCCTACCAGCCAAAGGCAGCTGGTGTAAGTACGGTAATCTCATGGGGCTGAGAAACGGGTAGGGTGGAAGAAGCTGCCTCAAACCAAAGGTCTTATCTAGTCTGGCATCCTTTCCGCCTTCAAAGCAGCCACCTCGATGCCTTTAGGGGAGCCCGAAAACAAGAGCATGAGGTCTGTAGTCTTCTCCCTCTGCTGTTTTCCTCCAACGACTGTTATTCAGAGGCAGGCTGCCTGGGCTCCTAACATATATTATTTGGATTGTAAATGGTTTTAACTGATTCTAATGGTTACTGTTCATGTATTTATAGAAGTATTTCTGTGCTTTCATATCATAAAATAGGGTGGTGAGTACAGAACACCATTAAAAGCAATGCAAAGAATAGTTAAAGTGACTGCAGATGTTTAATTAGACGAAAGCTTGTCTGCATAGAAAGGTCTTCAAGAGACTCCTGAAACTTTGCTGGACTAACACAGCATGGGATCAGCCATCAACTGCTAGTTGAGGCTAGTAAGGTGTCTTTGACACAGGGATGATACTGTATTTTTACATTGTTGTGACCCGCTCAGAGACCTTATGGTGAAGAGTGGGAAAGCAATAATAATAATAAGGCTGTCATGACTAGTATCTGTAGATAGCCTTATTCCCATAGTGTTTATCTGTAAGAGTCCTTTGCTGATCAAGTTTTAGCTGCAAATAACAACTTCCACTTTTCCTTTCACCGCTTTAAGGAGAAACGCAGTGCCATCCTCTGTATGTTTGTTCAGAAGTTTTCCCTACGAGTTCAGGGAGACTTGCTTCTACAAGAGTGTGTAGGATTGTAGCATTAGGCTTACTTTGGAATAGGAGCCTCTAAGTTCCATTGGGTTAGTTCATTGGGGCTAGTTTGAGTAGACATGTGTAGGATTGTGTTGTTAAGCTTGCAACACAATGCACAAGGCATTATTGGTACTGTCCCCAAAAAGGTTTTTCAAACGACTGCTAGATATACAGTTTATTCTCTCTTCCCATCAAACACATACATACACCAAAAACCTGTTTGTCTTCCACTTACGGTATGTACACATCCTTCACTCTCCCAAAATCTGGATGTGTACTTATTACAAAGAAACCACTAGCCCAGGGGTAGGCAGCTTAAGGCCCGGGAATCAGCGTGTTTTTACATGAGTAGAATGTGTCCTTTTATTTAAAATGCATCTCTGGGTTATTTGTGGGGCATAGGAATTCGTTCATTTTTTCCCCTTCAAAATATAGTCCTGCCCACCACATGGTCTGAGGGATGGTGGACCAGCCCACGACTGAAAAAAGTTGCTGGTCCCTGCACTAGTCCATCACTGCTTATGCTTACTGTTTGGTGAAAAGTGGGTTTGCCATGCTGTTCTGTTGTTGAATGAGGAGCAGATAAAGGGCCATATGATGAAACTTTGCAGTATCAGTTTTTATACACACATACATTTGTATTTGGCTAAATCTGTTGTGTGTGTTTTAAACAGAATCTTCACAAAATGATGTACATAAAAGCAAAAATAAAAATGTAAGAAAGAAAGCCCATTTTGCACAGAAGTAATATATCAAGAGGTTACCAGGGTAGCTTGTCCTTATTCATCCTCTTGGCTAGGTTATTTGAGAAATGTGACCTTTTGACTTGTGCTTAACTTTGGTCTCTGGCTTCCCTGCCTGCAGCTCCCTAATAACTGCTATGGGAACAGTTCTGCTGCCTCCAAGAAAATGAGGTGATGAAGGGCAAGGAGGATGGAAAGAGAAGGGAGATTATATGGCTATTAATCAATTGTTTTGGCATTGTGATGGTAAAACGTGACCTATCTGTGGGAACAAATAAAATCATTATTAACGTAGCACAACCTGGGTGTGTGCACTTTAAAAAGCAACATAAGCAAAATATAGGTACCTCCTGCCAAGCCTCTTACAATCTCTTAATTTAGATCAAGAAGTTGGAGAGAGGCAAGAAAATTTTGTTACTCATGTAAAGCAGAATCTTATACACACTTAACCTTGAAGTGATTATTAACGGCATTTCTGAGTAGAGGTGTTTAGGATTGTTCCAATGGTACTAATGGTACAATCCCTTCTCCCATTTACTTGGGAGTAAGCCCCAGTGAATTCCATTAAATGGACTTCTGAGTAAACATGGGTAGGGTAGCACAGTAAGGGGTTAAACCAGCAGCCTCAAAGAAGTGCGTTTTTGAGTTGGGATCTGGAGGAAGAGAGTAAGGTAGCAACATTGCTGTGATCTTTAGAAGCCGGGTCACAAATCAGAAGTCCTCAGGTTTCTGTGCAAACTATTATCAACATTGAATTTGCTTCTCTTTTTAAGCAAAGGCAAGTCTGCCTTTAAAGCTTCTTATTTTGGATATTTGAACGGTTGAAATGCAACTGATCTAACTAAATTGGAATATCTAACCTTGCTTAATAACATAACTACCATGCTAACTTGGACCATGTTTAACAAAGACCATCATTCTTTACAAGAACGCCACAGGCATTTGGTGTTTGCTGTGGGCTGCCATCTCCCTTGTGTCCATCCCTGATACAAAGAACCAGCTTCTGCTCAGGAATATGAAAAGCGTGAACCCCTCTACCATAACAGAACAAAACTGGGGTACTACCCAAAGCTCTCACAGCTTTGTCTTTTTTGTTGTTGTTCTATTTTGAAGCATAGAATTTTGGCAGGTGGCAAGAGTCAGGGAAGGCATTCATCCTTATGAGATAACTACTGACTCTCTTGCACGTTTTTCTGTGCGCAAGAAAGTATGTTAAGAGGGTACAGGCCAGGGGGCGTTGCATGGATGGGGCAGGCTACACAGTGACAGTAGGCTCTTGGCATATTGGCTTTGTCTGTTTGGCGGTGGATAAAGTTTTAAGTGTTAGAATCATAGAATTTTTGGAAGGGACTTTGAAAGTTGAAGTAATTTTAATCTGTTTTAGTATGTTAACTTTTGTATGTTTCAAAGTACTTTGCAATTTTTTCTTGATTTCGCTGTTTCATCTTTTGGTAAACTGGGCTTTTTGTTGTTGTTTTACACAATCAAGTCATGTATAAATTTTATAAAATAAGTGATTTAGTCATTGATCCAGATCAATACGCATAGTAGTCCTGGGATGAGCTTCATCTAGAGCAGTTTCTCAAACTTGGGTCTCCAGCTGTTTTTGGACTACAACTCCCATCATCCCTAGCTAGCAGGACCGGTGGTAAGGGATGACAGGAATTGTAGTCCACAAACAGCTGTTTGGGAAACTCTAATCTAGAGTAGCTCAAGGCACCTCCAGCAGCTAGGCTAACTCTTCTCTCCCCAGCAGCACTCTGCAGGAAGATTTCTCCACCTCCCTGGGAACGGTGACTGAAGTATGCTCCCCGCCCAGCCTACTGTATTTTTCGCTCTATAACACGCACCCGACCATAACACGCACGTAGTTTTTAGAGGAGGAAAATCCGTAGGCATGCCACCCGTAGGCATTTCCTCCATAACACGCACAGACATTTCCCCTTACTTTCTAGGAGGAAAAAAGTGAGTGTTATGGTGCAAAAAATACGGTAATTGTAGTGTGAGGGGCATTTTGGGGTGGGGCATCATGTACCTGGCCCATATGACTTGCTTAAAGCAGTCCTAGCATCAGTTGGCAATCTCATCATAAAGGAACAGTGCCATTTGAAAGCACCCGTGTTAAGTAAAATCAGTATGGTATGGCTGGACTAGATTATCCAATGTACCCCATGTGTATCAATGTACCAATAACATCTGTTTTTTTCAGGTTCCAATGCAGTGGATTGACAGCATTTGCCACAAGTAAGTAATCCTTTCCTTTCAGTATATATGCTTTGATTAAGGAAGGGATGCCAGAGATTAGATGCCGAAGTCCTGAAAACTAGTCCAGAAACTTTAGTTTCTTTCCATTCTCCTTGCAGTCTGCAAAGTATAAAACCCTTATATTGGTCCAAATGTAATTATAGCAGCTGTCTGAATACCGATAAGGTTTTCTGCTTTGTGGGATCTGGTACCACACATCATCCCCAAGTGCAATTCTTATCGAAAATGCTAAGAACTCCAAATGACTCAGACTGGCATGAATTAGCGTTGCTTCCTTCTCGATGGACATATATTAGTACCTACGCATCAGCAAATCAACCTGGTGCCAAGAGGAGAGATGCCTCAACTCATTCCAAGCTCCCCACAACCCAATGTAAGGCAGTTTGGAGTGATCTACCCATTTCAGATATACTTTTTATTATGTCCATACATTGGGAATATATTTTTCTATTGACGTTAGGGAGACACCCCAGGAATTCCAAATGGCCTTGGTTTGAGGTAGCATTGGGCTTGGAATTGTGCACATAGGCAGGCACAGTCAAGCTTCATACTTTGAGAAGCTTCATCCTTTGGGAACGCTACTCCCAGCTATTGTGTTTACCATCCCAGTGAAATTTACTTGGTTCTCTCTCTTTCATTCTTATTTTCTTTCTTTTTTGCCAGGGTTAGAATTTGAAAAGGGACCAGCTTTTTGAGGCTCCATGAACAGCTCAAACAGCCGCCTAGAGAGGCGGAAGGAACAATGTCATGGCAGCTGCAGTATAAATTACCAATTAGAAAAGCTGTCATGGGTGTGTTTCATGTGAGGACAAAGCATGAGCTGTTTACGACCAGAAGGCCAGAGGGATGTGCGTATGCACGCCTGCTGCTCCCATAAAGATAGCCTTTATCTTTCTACTCTAAAGTGGAGAAAGCCGCAAACTTTTATTAAGAGTTTAAACTTTTTATTTTCAAATAGAAAGGATGAAACTAATAACACAAGCCAAAGGGTGTTTGCTCAAAGGGGCTTTGTAAAAATACAAAAAAAAAAAAAATCAGTTTATAGTTATTTGGGGGTCTGTTGAATTGCACCTCCTAAAAAGTATTGCATTACCTGTTTGGTGTGCTCAATATTGTAATCCATCTTAATTGTTCAAGGGAGCGATCCTGGCTCCCGTCCAGGAGAGGTGACGCCACAGCTGCATTCAGAGCCCTGCTGTGAAAGCCAGCCAGGCTACAAGGTAGGGGTGGGTGGTTTCTTCCCCATTTTGCAGAAAGATCCAGTTCAAGCCCATCACTGGTAGATGAACTTGCTGAACTTGGGTCACAGTGGGTCTTTAGTCAGCTCAGCTCTGTCCCTCCCTGCCACAAAAATATCCCTATTCTGTTGCCAGTGGGGATCTCATTGATGGCAGTTTCCACCCACCTTCAATTTTGGTAGGTGTAGTTAGAATACATATTGGTGGATCTCAGAAAATGGACACAATTGCTGCTTCCTAACCTGTTCCAAGATGGTGGATTGAGCTTTAGGATTGCTCTGTGAGGCTGCAGTCATGTGCATATTCATCTGGGAGTAAGCCCTGTTGAACATAGTGAGCTCTGTTGAACATGGTGGGAATTACATCTGAGTAAATATGCATAGCGTCATGTTGTAAAGCAAGCGGGGATGAACGGATCAGTTTATTTCTGGTGCATATCAATTTTGTGTTCTAATTCATAAGTCAGTTCTGTCCCATTTTTGCATTCTGCAGCTTTTTGCCATCTGCAAATTTCATATTTAAATATGTGTTTTATATTGGTTATCCGAAAGTGTTTGTTTATCCAAGTGTTTATATACGGCTCTCTTGCAGAACATCAGGGCAGCATATAGCAATACAAAGACCTTTAAAAGCAACACAGAACAATCATTAAAATTTGCTTAGGTCGCTAGTAATTTTAAACCACTGCATAGGACTATTAGCAACTCCCCGCCCCCTCCCCTGCACAGAGAACATTGGACTGTATGGAACTTAATTATTCTCATGGTAGACCTATTGAGATTAATAGACCCAAGTTAGTCATGTCAATTATTTTGAATGGGTGTCCTCTGAGTAGGACTAACATTAGATGAAATGACATTTGAAGAAATACGAAATCTAAATGAAAACTTCATTCCAATCACACAGTATTCTGGAAGGTGAGGATCAGGTATGTTCACATTCCTTAAAGCAAGTAACTGGGAAATTAAATGAGCGAAGCAAACGTAGTGATACGGAATTGGTGAAAGTTATAATAGGTACTGTTTCTTCTCCAGCTCCTCTCCTCTCAATGGAAGTAGTCAGTGACTACGTTGATTGGGATATTGATCATCTGGGCTTTGTCCAGAAAAATTACTTTGGACTTGCAGATACTTTAAGCTTAAAGAGCAATATGCATTTTTTAATAAATGCATCAAGATAGAGAATAGTGAGCTATGTCATGACTCAAGCTCATTAACCCTACATTTCCTGTCCTGACAGGCACAGGTACTTCCCAGTCCCAATGCTGCCATCTTTTTAACAAGAGATGCCTGGAATTGAATCTCTTGTTTGCAAAACCATGCGATTTAAACTTTGGGCTATGGCCCCTCTTACCTCAAAAACAGCTTTTAAAATATGCACTCCCCCTTTCCCCGCAGCTCAGTGTGGGTGTCACAAAATCTTCACACAAAGAAGAAAGCAAAAAAAAAAAAAAAAGGAGGGCGAGGGGTTTTCGGTGGAAAGAGAAGAATACAGCTGCGTACGCCAAAGGATGGGGTATTGTTGGCGAAACCCATCTGAGTAATAGCTAGGGAAACAGGGCAAGTTGCTTTGCTGCATTCACATTTAGGAAAATTAGGGTTTTCAGTAAGATAGAATATTAGCATATTCCCCCACAGGAAGATTGTACAGGAAAACAGGAAGCAGGTGGTAATTACTGATAATGGGATAATTGTTGTATTGTGTGATCTCTACCCCTCTCCTGCCATTTTGCTTTAGGAGCTCCCCAGAAAGATAGTTTTAAGCATGTTGTATCTAAGCAACACTGCAAGCGGGGCCATCTTTTGTTTGACTTTCACAATGACTTGGGAATGGGATTTGCTAGCATTGCACGTTTGCTTTACGTGCATCTAGGACATCTGCAGAATGGGAAACAATGATTCTATCACTTTTATTCTTGCCTTCTTTAAACAAAACATAGTTTGCAATATAGCTGTTCTAGTTTGCACGTGACACTTCTAATTTGCATAGAATTTGCATGACACTGCTGTACCTATTTTACAGATGGGGACCAGAATCATTTCAGAAAGCAGCCACAGATTTCCAGCCTAATCACACGAATCTTTCCCCTGGGATTGGAGCTCCCCAGGGCTGCTCATTCTGTGGTTAGACGTCACTCAACTGGCCCTAACCGTCCCACTGAATCATTTAAATGTTAACATCGCCACATGGAAGCTACTCCTGCATGGCTAGGGCTGTAGCTGGCAGAAATGGAAGGTTAAGACTGGGGAGACCCTGGTTCAAATCTCCACTCAGCTATGAAGCTCGCTGGGTGACCTTGAACCTGTTACATTCTTTCTCTCCCTACTTCACAGGGTAGTTGTGAAAATAAAGTGTGTGTGTGTGTGTGTGTGTGTGTGTGTAAGAATTTGTAAGACACCCTGGGGTCCTTGGAGGAGAGGTGGGATAAAACAATAAAACTTGCTTAAATGCTTTAAAGCAGCCACGTCCAACCTGGGGCCTTCCAGATATTTTGGACTACAACTCATACCCAGCTAAGGCTGATGGGAGTTGTAGTCCAAAACTGTTGGAGGGCACCAGGTTGGGGGGGGGGAGGCTGCTCTAAAGGATTGAACCAAAGGTGTTTTAGACTTTCAGGATTGATCTCAAATCCATGACATCGGTAGCTAGGCAACAAACAAACAGCTTACATTTCTAGGAAACTCCCTCTGACACAGGCATATACACTCACACTGTGCTTTGAGATTGCTGTGAGGAAATGAGGCCTCTGGAATAATTGGTGCAGAGCCAGATGGCAGCATGTGCAATAGCCATGCATAAAGGCAGCATTTAGAAACAGTTTCCCTGAAGTCTTGTCTCTCTTGAAATTGCTTCTTGGGAGATAGACATCTGTTATCTATGGCATCCACATTGGATTCTCTTCAGTTGTCCTATGTCTTTTTTGCCTTTTTTTTTAAAAAAAGGTTTATCAGCACAGGACAGAAGGGTGTTGTCTCAGGAAGAATGCTTGCTTTGTAAAACACACACACACAAACAAACAAACACACACACGGCACAGAGATTTGAAGAAAAGAACAGCACTGAGCCTTTGAAAACATTAGCATCACCTTGCATTTGCACAGAGATGTTGGTTTACACGGGTTGTGTAATATCTTGCCGTGACAGAAAATCTGGTCTGGATTTGGGGGATTTGCAAACGTGAGATAGTCGTCCTAAGTACAGAGCTCCGGCTTGGGAGCTAGGAGATGCGAGATTTCCCCCACCCTTGTCTTATCATCACATTTCTAACATCCAATGTGCAGGTAATAAAAAGAAGATTAATCTCTTGTGTTAGTGCCATTCTGAGGTTTGCAGAGCATATAGAGGAGCTTAAGTGGGAATTGGTTGGGAAGTGCAGAGTTTAATTGTTGTACTTTTGTGTTTGCTGCTGTGTGTGGTATCCCTTAATCTGTAGGCACTGAGGCAGCGCTTGTGTTATTCCTTGTATTTTCAAGGTCACTATACAATGGATGGAAGGGCAGACTCATTGGTGATGACTGTGCACTTGCTGGCCAAATGTGGACATGCGTTGTCCTTGCAGCAAGCCCTCAATCAGCTTCAAGAATGGATCTGCCTGGACGTGTGCCTCTTCCTTGTCTCGGAACGCACTTCTCCCATTAAGTATTATGAGACGTACCGCCAGAGGAGCTCCAGGTTCCCTGGGACATCTGTCCTACTTTTCCTGCATGAGGACTTGGGGGACGAGCGGATTTTCCAAGTCCACGACTTTTTCCAGCGCCCGCCATGGCAGCGGGTCCACCTGGAGATTGCCGGCAGGAAGCTGTCCTCCCATGCCCTTGACGACCAGGACTTCTACGGGCTGGACGAGCACATGCCCGTGTGGGGACTGAGGCAAGTTCATTACGGCACGGAAATCCTGCGCGTTACGCTCTACTGTAGCTTTGATAACTACGCCGATGCGGTGAGGCTTTACGAGACGATCCTGCAGAAGGAAGCGACCGTGCAGAAAAGCAGCTTCTGTGCCTTCGTACTGTACGTGACGGAGAGCATTGCGGTCCAGCTCTGCTTGAAGCAGCTGCCTCTGGGAATATGCGTTGACTCGAAGGAGTCTTCGGTGTTGCAGTTCAAGGTGCATGAAATCGGACAGCTGGTGCCGCTTCTGCCTAATCCCTGCATTCCTATTAGCAGCACTAGGTGGCAAACCGAAGACTACGAAGGGAACAAGATCCTGTTTCAGGTATTGCTTGGTTTATAAATGGTGGGCGCAATCTGCAAGGGGGAATGGCCGTAGCTCAGGGGGCAGAGCATTCGCTTTGCATGCAGAAGGTCCCCGGTTCAATTCCCAGCATCTCCATGTAGGGCTGGAAAATAATTCTGTCTGAAACCCTAGACACCCACTGCCAGTTGATATAGACCATACTGAGCTAAATGGACCAAAGATCTTGACTCAGAATAAGGCAGATCCCTATGTACACCCAATGAACCTCTCTACTGCATTGGATATTGCATTAACACAGCAGCAGACACTGTGTTAGACTGCTTGGTGTTGATGGTTTCTTGAATTATGATCATAATGCTCTCTGAATTTATTCATAACCCTTTTCCCCTTTTACGTTTATTTCTTTTAAAAACGGGGATCCCCATGTTCCTGTACCCCAGTTAAAGCTGAATATTTATGTTGGGATTTCTCTCCTGCCTTCATCCTGAGTCACAACGTCAAAACAACGGTTTTTACTCCAACAAAACTGGGAAGCGTATCGCGGAAGTCTAATAGAAATTAAAATTCCTCATACTTGCTTTGCCCTTAGCCATTAAAAGACAAATAACATGCTAAAATGCTTCTGGGAAGTGTCTGGACTTCCGCGTGCTTGTCGGCAAGTCAGTTACTATTTTGCAAAAATACGTCTCCCAGGGAGGGGGTGTATTACAAAACATACTTTAAGAAAATGCCGCAAATCATTGTTATATGTGAAAAATGTTTGTGAACTTAAGTGCATGGACCAACTCCAATGCATTAGGGAGTTTTGTAGTTTGGGGGCAGTAGCAGGAACACACACACACACACACACACACACTTTTTTCTTGTTTTTCTTGGTCTTTGTACATGGTTGGTATATCTTACTGTTGTAGTGTGTTTCATCTCATACCAATCTATATTCATAAAAAGACTTTTAAGGTCAGGTGCTGGGAGTTTGTGGCCGTCTGTATGTTGGACTACAACTCCCATAATCCCTGACTATTGGCCATGCTTGATTGGGGGAGACTGATGGCATTTGGGAGTCCAGCATCATCTGGAGGACCACCCTGTTCCAACTGCTTTCATAACACAAAACGCTTTGGTTTACAACTACATCCAGTGTTAAGGGCCACAAGTATCGCTCATGGGCTGCCACCTCGTGGCTATGGTTTGTTGTGTTCTGTAGCTCAACAAAAGCATCTCACTGTGAGTGGGGCATATCTGGCACAGGCTGCTTCCATGAAAATGCCTCAACTTGTCTTACATGACAAGGAGACATCTCAACTGGAAGTGAAGGTGCATGAGGGCAGCACTCTTAGGAAGCCACAACCTCTGCACAACTGCTGGGTACAATGCTGCATATGGAGACTTTAGAGCAGGTCCCAATGGAGAGGATACTCAGGAGTGGGAAAGCAGAAACCGGTTCAAAGGAAAGACTTTACGAAGGAGGAGGAAAGAGTTATAGACTGCAGAAGAAGGAAATAAAGGAAAGAGGTTGTCTTCAACCTCAACAAGGGCTGAGGAACTAGAGGAAGGAAGAGGGAAGAGTCTGGGGCTGTTAATTCTATTGGTGAGCCAAGATAAGAGAAAGGAAGGAAGAAGGAACATAGGGAAAGTGTATATTCACATAGAAAGCAATCTGGTGATGAAATGGGGGTAAGCAGATTCTGAGCAAGGGCCTCAGCACAAAGTCTAAGGATCTTTGGGACCCGTTAGGCAGGGACCTAACCCGTTAGGGACCTTGAGAATCAGATTCTGAAGTATGAAATACTTCAGCTTTACAAAAATAGCTGCCATTTGAAATCCAGAGATGACCAAGTTGGTGAATCAACTAGGTGAGAGGCTCAAGAGAATTTTTTGTGATTCTAGTTAAGGTGCCAAGTTTATCGAGCATGAATCTGCCATGTAGGTATGCCAATAATAACACTGAATATGAACCTGGGTCCATCACTCAGCTCTGGCGTGGAATTGTTCAAATCTGTGTGTTGCCTTCCATTTTCTCCTCTGTCCATTCAGAGAATAATATTGTTTGCGGGGGAGTTAAGTCAAAATATATTCCTGGTGGATTAATAAAGATTGCCATAAGGGCAAGAACTGCTTTCACCAAAAGGATTTAAAGCTTTAGAAAGCATGGCCCTCATTGAATACTGTTTTCAAGTGGTGTCCTAATGATAGTTCATGTTTGTACGTTCTCACATGTATTTATTCAGATTAATAGACCTTAAAGTTCATTGAAAAACCAAATATAAAGCTGTTTCATAACATCACATTTTGTAACAGCAGCATTGTATTGAATCTAAAAACTATCTATGCCAGTTTCATAAGAAAAATACAAACATACATAATACATCACTTTACGCCATCTTCTTCCATGAGTTTTTGTCCTTAAGGAAAAGGGATATGATTTAAAAGTTCTTGGTAGAAGCCTCTTTAACTATTGATTTGTGGATGATGGTTCCACAGGGGCAGGTGGAGACTTGATCACCTGATGGATGATGCTTAACCTCATTTTTTTGTTTTATAGGTTCAAGGCAACTCAAAGCACACTGGGAATCAAGACTCCTCTTCCAGCTGGCACAGCCATGAACACGAGGAAGGGCCCCTTCACTACCCCTCCAGTCCATCTCCACTGGCCATAAGAAAAATTGCAGTACAGCACAAAAACCGGACAGTTCGAGCCATGAAGAACAAAAGCAAATCCTCACGAGAAGTTGCATATGCTCCGGGAAGTGTTTGCAGTCACTCGCCAAGCAACTTTTGCTCTTCATCCCAGTCATATAGCCCAACAGGTTCTTCTCTGCAGGGCTTAGGCCCTTCTCAAACGAACTTGGCCACTAAATTGAGACATTCCAGTCATGAACTCTGGCCTTGTCAAAGGGAGGAGGAGACTAATGTTGACACAGGCAACAAAGTGATCCTTTCCGAATGCAGTGATTCGCCACTAAATAGATTTTCACAAGACATACAGAAAGCGCTTCTTCAGTCTCAGGCATCCTGCTGTTTGTTAACGGGATCAGGCTCCACGATCAGCTTGCACTCTGAGGGCAGAAACAATCTGTTGTCATCACATATTGCCAAGAGGAATAAAGGATCAGGACAGGTACCATCAGGTTTTCCCTTGGGAGCATCCAAAACAAGCCGTGGAAATGGAAAGGATGAGGAAGAAGAATTCTTTATATGACTTTTAAAGTATAAATCTTGTTCTAGATTTTATTTTAAGTGCCTTATTTCTGAAATAACACTAAAGAACTATCTGTATGCTGCACAACGACTCTGTCCTTGTGTAGATACCCCAGCTGCCTATACTACCTTTTATGTTAGTGTTAAAAAAGAAAGGCTAAGCGTAGTTTGCAAGAGAGCAAATAAGGTTATGGACTAGTGACTAATGCTAGGAGTTTAAAAAGAAGAAGAGGACTGTGAGAGAAGTTTCACACACTGGAGGATTACTGTGCAATAGATTGAAACAAGCCATTCATTTCAGTGCTCCACAAGCTCACTAGAATTCATTAGCAACCAGGGAGAGATGAACCTGTTCTGCTTCTATGAGCTTTCAGCATCCCTGTGCTGCCACCAGTTGGTGGCACAATATTTCCACATTCTAGAGAGATGCACTTAGCTATGCAGAAGAACTTCGCACTCATGTGACCAGAGATCTGAATTCATACAACATCATCTCATTTAAGAGTCTCTGGGGAGCTGAACGGCTCTATTCCCATAGTTTGCATTTGGCTCCTCTCTGTGAGGGAGCAGCACACTTTGTGATTATGACTTTGCGCTAGGAGCCTTCCAGTCATCATGATGCTGCAGTTTGCTAACGTATGAATTTTACATGTTTGGTAGGTTGCGAAGTATATAAACTTCATCTCACACAATGTGAACTGAACGCTTTGGCTTTAGAGCTAGGATTGCTGGGTAACAGATTTAAGTGGCCTAGCTTGTGAAATCCCCTTTCCCTTGTGTGTGCTTAGTCCCTGTTAAAATCTGAGTGCATGGGGCTTCTTTCTAGGAGATCTCTTTGTTTTTATTATACTTGGTAGTGTCCTATAGCTGATTCTTGCATCGCATGGTGACTAGAGATAGAATAGACTCACCAGTCTGAGTTTGGGCTGTTCCTCTTGATGGGGCTGCCCCTGTTTCCTCTCTCCCCTCCCCATTGCCCTGTACTTACACAAGCTGTTCAAAACTGCTCTGCTGCTTATCTCTTGGAGTATATATCCCATGTCATCTTTTTGGTTCCCCCGTGAACACTAGGAAGCACAATGTCACTCTATGATATTACTTCAGCTACTGAATGAATCCTGGCTGAGCCAAAGGTTTGCTTCTACTTTTTCTGGCTTCACTAATTATACTTTATAGCCAGATCTGGAGCGCAGGGAAATGGATACCAGTCTCCTTGAATGTGCTTTGGCCCTATCACATTTCCAGCATGTGTGCCAGAGGAGGAGTTGAATGGGATATGCTCTGTGGAAGTTAAGCCTTGCCTCAGGAACATTAAGGTATGCCAGTATATGAGTGTGTAGAAAATCATGACATGTATGGGTAGGTTAAGTTGGATCTGCCTCGCTGGGGTAGGGATTTGCACACCCAACCCTTTGGGTAGGTACCAGCGTTGGCTGTTTATAAACATCTGGTGGCTTTGGAGACCTCCACAGCATGACTGGAGAAGGAGGTCTGTCTGAAATGTTAACAAGCTGCTGCCAGCTGGGTAGGTGATACTGAGCCTGGATTGAGCCACGATTCGGCCTTAGTGCCAGGCAGCTTGCTTACAGCAGCGACCTGAGCAAATGTGTTTTTCTCTGTCTAATTATGCAATAATTCTTGGCATTGATTTCATAGCGTTCCCCAGCTGTGCCACATTAAAAAATAATAATGCATTGTTTCATGTATTGCTGTCTCCTCCTATGAAATGTACGGTTCAGCCTGCAGCATTCTTATGGGTGAGGAAAGGGCCTATTCCCGAAATAAAAGCATCATTTATACTTACAAAATAGGACCTATATTTTCAAACATGTCATCTTCTGCTCTCTTCACTTCTATGCTCTTCCCCACAACCTCCAGTTAGAACATTGTTCAAACCAGAGTCTCTTAACAAGATGTAAGTTAAACCAACGAGTGCCCCCGCTTGGCAATCTTCAAGGCCTTACTCTGTATGCATGAGGGAAACTGCAGAGTTCTGAGGTGAAAGTTACCTTAGGAAGGGGGAGAGCTGAAGAGATTATGAAGGCAGTGACGAGAGTTTTAAACGTGAGAGGGGCCCTTTGCTCTACTTGTGAAGGTGCCCATGGAATCTGCCAACCCAAGGGTTGCCAGTTTCAGGGAAGCTTGCACACAGTCAAATATGTGTATGAAGTGGCCCTGAAGGCCACACTCCTTCCCAGCTATTCCTGAGTTTGTCCACACTTCAGCGAAGGGGAAATCTGCAAAGTAGCTTCAGGCACAGTACTTGAGGAGAAACACAGAATGATCCATGCATGCAGGCTCATCCCTGGATACTGGCAATGTAATGGTAACACCAAGTAATGCACTGGATATATGAAAGATGCAATATAGATCATGCACCATCAACACAGATTTCATATCACTTCTCATGAGTTGAGCCCGTAATTTTTTTTTTAAATTGAGGCCATTCAGCTCAGAGTCACCAACTCAGTTCAATTCTGTCTTCCTTTATAAGGTAGTGTAGGGCATTAAGCAATAATGCACTCCCATTTCTCAATGTGTTCTCTATGAACAATGCACTTGTGATTTCCTGCTCCAATTCACATTTGGGACATAAGGTCCCCAAGTAGCAGGCAGTATTGTGCTAATATTGTCATAAGGAACACCTGTTGCATACCAAGTCAGGCCATTGGTCCATATAGCTCAGTGTTAGTCACACTATGGGGAAATAACCCATGGACCTCCATGTGTTGCCAGATTACCACTCCCATCACCTCTGACCAGTGGCTCTGCTGCCTGAGGTTGGTATCCAACAACATCTGGAAAACCACAGATTTCCTATCCTTTGGACCAGCAGTAGTTCCCCAGGGTTTGAGACAGGATTCTTTACCAGCCCTACCTGGAGATGTCGGGTTGAACTAAGGACCTTTTGCAAAACTGAGCAATGCCCCTTCCCTGAGAGAAGGATAGCTGATAGGCATGGGTTTTTTTAAAACCACGAACTAAGAAGATGCCTGCTGGATCAGCCAAAGGTCCATCTAGTCCAGTATCCTGTTCTCACAAGGGCCGATGAGAAGCCTGCACATTGACCAGCAGTCTTCCTACTTGTGCTCCCAGCAAGACTCTCTGCAAATTGGCATTAAATGTTGTTCGCAGAATTCTGACATCCAGCTAAATAGTTATGTTAGTAATTAAAGTGTATGTTGTAAAGACCTCTTTGAGTACTCCATTAATACATGTACTTTTCCATGTAGGGTTTGTCATTTACAGATTCATTACCTCCAGGGGGGAAAGCACAATATGAGTGTTTAAGATAATGTCAGAAATGAGTTGATGCAGTCTGCTTTGCTTTCCAATTAGTATGCAGAACATCATTCTCCTCTGCCTATTAAGAAAACAATTCAGCAAACATCTTCATTTGCTATTGTGATTTTCAACATGAAGGTGTTTTTGTTGCACGCACACACCCTCCCAGCCAAAGAGCACTGCAAAGAATGAATCATGACAATTGTCAGCCATCAGGCATGCCCAAGTGCTGCAGTGATTTAAATGATCAGGTGCCTTGCATTGCAGATTGGCAACATGGATGCTATTGGATTGGGTCAGGAGGATCAGGGAGGCAGAAGTGACGTTTGGAGGGGGGAGTGCAAGGAAGTGCCAAAGTTTGCAGGCACTGCTGGATGCAACGTTAGGCTACAATAGCATCTTTTGTCTAGCCTGAAAATAGCAGCAGAGTACTTTTTGCTTTGCTTTTCTGAGCTTCAGCTAACTAGTTACCAAGGAGCTGGAACAGCATTCTGTGGCATCTTGAAGACAAAACAGGAAAGTTTTAGTATTTCTGCCCAGTGTGCCCTGACCAAAGGCCTGAGAATATGACTATGGATAAACTGAATCTCTGCAGCAACTCTCTCTCTCTCTCTCTCTCTCTCTCTCTCTCTCTCTCTCACACACACACACACACACACACACACACACACACACACAGAGAGAGAGAGAGAGAGAGGTGAGATAGATTTGATTCTTTGAACGAAAGAATACTTTTCTAACCTATGAGATGCTCTGTGCCCAGGGAGATATATATTATGAAAGGTTATATGTAACTGTCCTGAATGAATAAATGAAATAATTGCATAGGACAGCTTTCACCAACCTGATGCCCTTCAGAAATTTTGGGCTACAACTTCTATCAATCCCAAGCAGTACGTTGGCAGATGGTGGCATAGACCCTTGTAAAAAAAAATTGAAGCTATACCACAGGTGTGGCTAGCCCCAGGCCTGGCAGTCTGAGCTGGTTTTCCAGACAATTCTTTTCTGTTCTCCCATGACCCCAGCAATTTTGGCAGTGGTGGCAAAAGGGGAAAAAAATTAATAAGGTAATAAAATAAGCATGACACGGGGTGGGGAGAGAGGTTTAAACCTACCAGCCAGATGGGATGCAGATTGACACCCTTCCCAGTAATAAGACTGATCTATTGATGAGCACTGAGAGGGAAATAACCTGCACATAACAACTGAAGAGCTGTGTCTTGGGCATATGTACGTACCATGCTGGGAGCTCCAGGGACAAATAAATCCAAGCATTAAGACTGTGTAAATGTTCATAAAATGCCATGGTGAAAACACTGCATTAGAATAAGTTGTGCAGAACAGGAGAAGGTGCCAGCTGTTGCTGTTGAAATGCTTGCTTCAACTCAGCTGTGTGTGGTATGATCCCCACGCAGCATCGCCACCTTACGGTCAGAAGCAGCAACTTTTCCTAAAGGCTTTTTTCCGTTTACTTCTTGCAGGATCTTTTGTTTAGCTCTTAACGCTATTTTGTCTGGTTCAGCTGCTTGCTGCCACTGCCCAGCATTCATGTAGCAGCACCAGCTGTTTACATGATGGATGCTGGAGCCCTCTGCATGCATGGAACCTCCCTGTGAGGCTGCATGTCATGGTGCCTCCTCCCAGGGCTGGCCCAAGACATTTTGGAACCGCTCTTGAAGCAGACGCCAAAATGGCGTCTCCCTTCCTGTCTGGGAAGAAGGGGCGAGGAAAGGTGTACATCAGGAACATGGGTCAAAGAAAAGTTGACATTGGAATCTGCTGCCCTAGTGAATCCTGCCACCCGAGGCAGTTGCCTCACCTTGCCTCATGGATGGGCCACCCCTGCCTTCCATGTTTCCACATGCTGGGTCTCCCAGAACTGGTGCTGAGGATTCCCTTAAAAGAGATCTGTCTGGTGTGTGACCTGCTAAAGAACCCTTGGAGTTTTCATAGGAGGAAGTGGGACCTCTCCTCAGTTGTCGAAAATACCAGCACCAAGAGGGTCCAAGAGCAACAACAACTAGAGGACCAGAATCATTGAGTGGCTTTGGAGGTTGGGCTCTACTTGTGAGTAAGCAATCCCAGAGGTGCCTTTTCTGCCAGCAGCTGTGATTAGGGTGTGGTCTGGGAGGCCAGATGTCTCCATCTTGAAACTTGCCGTTGATCTTCACCTTCGTGTTCCTATGCTCCCATTAAAGGTAAAGGGACCCCTGACCATTAGGTCGAGTCACGGAGGACTCTGGGGTTGTGGCGCTCATCCGCATCCCTCATGCTCCCATTAGGTGTTAGCAATATGGATGATCCTGTAAGACTTATAAGCAGGGGTTGCTGAACATTATTTGCAAATGTAAGGCATTCCAGAATTTAGGCACTATGTGAAGCGGCTTCTTAAAATATTTCAGTACAGCTGGTGTACTGAATATAAGAGGTGTACTGCCTCTTATATCAGATGTGAATAGGACAATTTGGGAGTGAAGCACATCCTGGCATCAATATAGATTCAGCATAGAGAGGTTTCTGCATGAATGGAGAATACTCCTCAAACATTATAAACTGGATGTTCAGATATCAGTATAAAAGCAGCTTGTCAGCTTTTTATTAGAAGGAAATATGTATATTGAGAGGAGGGAGGGGACATCCGCCTCCAAGGTCTCCGAGTAAAATAAAAATAACTTCTCCTACCATCCAATTTAACCTGCTGCTGTGAGGGTATGGTTCTGACCAGCAGAGGGTGGTGTGCCCTTAACTTGCACCTCCCAGTGGACAAAACCATTCGAGACACCAGTTGTATAACAAATCAGCACTCCTGATGTTCCATTAAAATGTGTGCGCTCCTAGTGTAGAGTCCTGACAACTCTGTCCTCTGATGCCTTTTCTGTGAGCGCTGTTGGCAGGCTGTCACACCAGTTTGCATCACACACACACACAAAATGCAGTAGGCCCCAAGTCATTTTTGGTTGAGTTCAGGACAGACTCATGACACCAGCCCTCATCCCATTCCAGAGAGGCACACACTTAACAGAATAAAAATTGACATTATATTTCTGAAATGGTAATATTCCAGAGAAATAATTCAGAATACTAATTTTTAAAAATCATACTGTGGGACAAAGTGTTCAGAAATGCTGAGAGAATGAATGTTTTCACTGAGAAGTTGTTCGGTGTGAATATATCTCTGGACCAAGGACAGCCTTAGGAATCTTGTCTAGCTCTTTAAAAACTTGATCTCAGGCACTGTCAAGATATAACCGCAACTAGTGAATCTCAGCCCAATCACTGAGATAATCTGACAAGTTCCTTCTACATCCCTCCCAAAAGAACTGACGGGAAGAAAAAAGGAGAGCCTTGGCAAAGCTATTCCTTGGTTGGCAGCTAGACCTGTCAGTCACAGAACTAAGCCCTGCTTCCCCTCATTTCCTTTCTATGGAGAGCTTGGGGTAAAAAGTATCTGTTTTTAGATACTCACTAAGTGCCTTTGTCCATCTGTATTGGTACCAAATCTCTGTGAAACAGCCCAGTTTGGCTTAGGTTGATTCAGAAGGTACCTGCTTCAGTTGAGATTTGTCCAAATTCCTTCTGAAATGTGACACTTTGGCTCTGGATTTGGGATTTGTTTGAAGTCAATGCACATCTCTAATGTCTAAATAGCTCCTTGCACAGGAGCGAAAAAACAACAACAAGCTTTCCCCAGCTGTCACTCTCCCTTCTGTAAATCTCCTGGAGTGTGGCTGCTCATCTCCAGTCAGAATTACAAACTGCCTCCCTTTCCACTGTTTTGGGGTCTTGTTTCTTCAGCCATCTGCATCTTCCCTTTACTCTTCTGCCTTGTGAAGCCGATCCAGGCAGGAAAGGGCAAAGTTTGCTGGCTGCGGTTACACGCAGCTCTGAATCAGAGTCTTGCATCACGCAGTTTCACAATCTGAAGCTGTGCAGAGACTGTCTTGCCTGAGCTACGGGCCAATCCTGTGCCCAGGCAGCTGACACCATTGTCTACTTGAACTTCATCACAAAGAAGGAGTAGGCAGGGTGGCTTACAGCCCAGTAGGAGCGCTGAGAACATTTTATCATCTTTACAACGTGTCACAGAAATGGAAACAACTTGTTTCCTGTTCCAGCCTTCATTCCCTCTCCTCCCACCTCTCATCCCTTTGGCACTCTCACCCTTTTCTCCATTTCCAAGAACTCTGCTCTTTTGGGGGCGGGATTTTTGTTTTGCATCCTCTTCTGTACGTGAAAGAAAGCAGCTTCGGGCTGCAATCGCAGGTCCCTGGGAGGGCATCCCAGGCCTCATCGGATGTTTGGGATCTCCTCCTCAGAGGGTGGGAGCGATCTGTCCTCAGGGGCCATTCAATTCATTGAATGGATTTGAACTGGACAAATCTCTGTGGCCTTTGCCTTACTGTTATGTACTGAGTTGAATAGGATCCAAAATGCAGCAGTCTGATTGGCCCTAGAACAATGGGATTCAGAATGCAGCAGTCTGATTGGTCCACAGGGTCCACCCGGTCCAGCTCCAGGTGGAGGTGAATCCGCAACCTGATTGGCCCATGGGAGAATCCCAGAATTAGCCAATCATGTGGGGCCCATTGTGTAATAATGTATATGGGGCAGACATTCCGTTCCTCCTCACCACTATGAGCTGAATAAAGAGCATGAAATCCACTCTTGACTCCGAGTATATTTCACTTACCAATGTTGGAGCTTCAACATTGTTATAGGCGAAACGGGGAATGCTGGGACATCAGGTAAAGGCTATGGGTCCGTGGTAGGGCGAAAGGCAAGGAGACCAACAGTAGGTGAAGCCAGAGCCAAGGACAGGCAGAGCAGACTCATTCTAGTTTCACCCTAGCCGAGTTCTACGAAGGCGGCACTGATAATATGTTTATGTTAGCAACTTAAAATACATTGATGTCACAAACACACTGTCATGGACTGGCTGAATGCAGAGGAGTGTTGGGAGGCACCAGCTGGGGAACCCCCAAGGGAACCCCCAGGAGAAGAAGGCTCAGAGCCAGGGGACGGGTGGTGGGACAATGATGATGAGAGGTCAGAGGGGGAAGAGGGAGCAGACAAAGAGGAGGATGTGTCAGAAGCTGAAGAGGTCACAGGATTTAGTGAGCGAGAAGAGGCTGGGGCAGAGAGCAGTCCAGAAGTGGAGGCTGGAGAGGACGGGGGGGGGGGGGCTCAAGAGGCTGAAATGAGGCAGGCTGCTGAAGAAGCCCCCTCCTGCTGCGACCAGCTCCCCTCTCCACCCCACCCAGTCTCCCAGAACCCAAAGAGGCAGAGCAAAGGCAGGCAAGACAATGGAACCTCAGATTGCTTGGGAAGGAACCAGGGCAGGAGACTTAGGGAGCTGTGGGAAGGTTTTACTAGGAAGGGCTGCTGTGCTCACTAGGCCTGGCCTCCTGGGCTGTCTTGTTTCTTTGAACAAAGAGTTAACTTCACTAAAGTTGTGTGAGTTATTGCTGGTCTGCTCCTGGCACCCGTCCCCTCACACATCCCAGCTGTATTTCAAGCCACATTTGCACACAGTTTGCACCAGAGCTAGAGGCTGGAGATGTCTTCACCCCAATGCACATGCCCATTTTGGTTCCCCTGCCCCTGCAGTGCGCGCACAGAACTCTTGCTCACGAACCTGTTACCTGTGCATGTGTGCTCATTTGCGCATGTGCGATGACAGTCTCAAAAGTTCACACCATTCTGAAGTATAGAGTGAATACAGCTCAAGTTTTCTAATTGGATTGAAGCTGGGGGTTTTTTTTGGGGGGGGGAAATAAGGATTAATAATAATTCTTGGGAGGAAAACTGTGTTGTAGTCTGCCACAGTGAATTAACTATGTGTGCTTGCCCTTGTAGTACAGTGTTTCTTTTTTGTGATCAGTTTGAGGGGATCCTGAATTTTGGGGTCACACATTAATGAAGCTGTAGTGCAGACTAGAGGGATGCGGGTGGCGCTGTGGGTTAAACCACAGAGCCTAGGACGTGCCGATCAGAAGGTCGGCGGTTCGAATCCCCGCGACGGGGTGAGCTCCCGTTGCTTGGTCTCTGCTCCTGCCAACCTAGCAGTTCGAAAGTACGTCAAAGTGCAAGTAGATAAATAGGTACCGCTCTGGAGGGAAGGTAAACGGCGTTTCCGTGCGCTGCTCTGGTTCGCCAGAAGCGGCTTAGTCATGCTGGCCACATGACCCGAAAGCTGTACACCGGCTCCCTCGGCCAATAAAGTGAGATGAGCGCCGCAACCCCAGAGTCGGTCACGACTGGACCTAATGGTCAGGGGTCCCTTTACCTATACCTTTTAGTGCAGACTAGATGAAACTTTGCTGCAGAGCTGTGTTGGGAGCCTTGCCAAGGAGCATGTAAATTACCTACAATTAAAGTTCAATACCAAAGCCTCATATAAACGCAAACCAGATCTGGGGCTAGTTCGCTCCTGTCATCTGCGGTGGTGCCAGTAACAGCTCTCTCTTTTTCACTTTTCCTGTCAGTGAACCTGGTTAGCACAGCCTGTCTGAAGAGACTCCAGACATAGGACTAAATGGTAAACCAAGTTAGTCAAAGTCAACTTTTGCACCACAAAGCAACATATGGTAGCTGTGAACAATTAACAGCTCAATGAGATCATATTTCAGGGTGGGAACAGCTTAGCTCACTGCCAGGATCTCTCTCTGAGTCAGATAAGGAGTGAGAAAATTCCAGTGAAAAAACCACAACTTTGGTTGTCTAGATGAGACTAATGCTGGGATATCTCTCTTTCCCCTGCCCTCTTTTGGGTCAACTAGGCTCTCTCTTACACATTATTTGAGGATGAGTAGGATGCTGAATACTTCTGATGTAATTTTGGTCATGTAAACACCCAAGCATATTGTTATTATAAAAGCATGACAAACCAGGAAGGCTTTTTGCTGCTATAGTAACCATTTCCCCCCAGTCTATCCCTGTTCCAGAATGTATTCTTTTCCAGCCTGCGAATGCACCAGCCACTTTTAGCTCTAAACATTATCCATGTATCTTAAGCAAAGTCATTTTGTAGGTCTCCTGCTATCAGGCGATCCTTCTAAATAATTTCACTGCAGCAAGAAGAATAAATAAGGAAGAACATAAGAAGAAGAGCCTTGCTGCATCTGACCAAACACTCAGGACATGGACTTCTGCTTCCCAGAAGGTAGAAGTTCTTATGGCAAATGAGAAGCAATTCCTATATCCCTGAGGGAGCAGTATCTGCCAGCTACACGAAAAGCAGCACCTCAAAAAAGCAGCACTTGTCTGTGGGACAGTCATCTTGTTCCCTCAACATAGTGGCCAAGACAAGTTGCTACTGTTGGTCCACATGGCAGACATCTGCCCAAACTTGAAGTAGAAGATCATACCAAAGGACTTTGCAATGACATCTCTGGGGCAATTCCTCTGTCCTCCCCAGCTAATTTGATCACTGCCCATACAAGCTGATTGAGAGCTGGAGAAGGTGCCATTATTTGGTGTGTGGGGCTCCTCTGAGCACCTCTGGATCTGAAGGTCTCAGAAGTGAATCATTGTTGGTTCACTTAGAGTCATCCGTGCGAATGATACTTCAGAAAAACATTGATTTCAACAGAGCCTTCCTCATTACAGGAAGCCCTTCTTTAGCTGTTTACACAGTTTCACTTGCTATTCCCATTTGTCACCAGTGGCTGCTGGTCAGGAATAAGTCATATTCACACCAATTTGGCAGTGGGAGTTTTAAACAACTCTGTCAGCATATGCCAAGTGGCACGTAAGGGCCAAACTCCACGTTACTACAAAGCATGTTATTTAAAGTGTGCCTAGAGCCACTCTCTTTTCTTAGCAACAAAAAGAAAGAAAGAAAGAAAGAAAGAAAGAAAGAAAGAGAGAGAGAAAGAGAGAGAGAGAAAGAGAGAAAGAGAGAAAGAGAGGGAGAAAGAGAGAAAGAGAGAAAGAGAGAAAGAGAGAAAGAAAGAGAGAAAGAGAGAAAGAAAGAAAGAAAGAAAGAAAGAAAGAAAGAAAGAAAGAAAGAAAACAGCCATGCAGGGAAGGGTATGCAAATACATTTTAACTATAAGGGATGGGAAGGAGAGAGTTAGCCCTTTCTTCCAACAACATTTTCATGCCAAAAATCCCCACCTAACCCCACAGAAATGGGGACAATTTGCAGCAAATTTTGAGAGGTGTTTTTTTTGTTTGTTTTTTTGGTGAAGAAAGGCACAGAGGGGGAAAAATGTTAACTCCCAGTGCACCCCAGCTCTGTATTTACCATAATTTTAAAGTACATTTAAAATGCATTCCCTCAAAGAGTCCTGGGAACTGTAGTTTGTTAAGGGCATTAGGAAATGTAGCTCTGAACTACAGTCCCCAGGATTCTTTCAGACCCAGCACCTCAACTCTGCTGTCCTCTTGTACTTTGCATGCTGATTGCAGCATCTGGGCTTGATGAGCCATGTGACCCTCACCTGCTCCAAGCCTACTCCAGCTGAACTTCTACCAGAACTAGCGAGCCCCACCTGGCCAGCTAGGGAGCTGGGCTGTGGGCCCGTGACTGTCTCAGGCTACTGGAGCATCCCTCCCACTGCTCCCTAGGCCTCAGAGCCTGCCATGTTCATGGAGACAGGGGCCCCTCTGGCTCTGGTGATGTCCTGCTGCTCTGGTTTCGGGACGTTGACCGCCATCCCCTTGCCATTCTCTGCAACCCGGTGAGTACTTCCTTCCTCACCCCCTGTTTGCCCTTGTGTGTCCCAGTCCTGACTACACCCCTTGCTGGGATTGTCTTCCTCCTGCCAGTTCATGACATCAAGATGTTGTTTCAACACTTGACATGTTCCCTATGCCCTGCTTTTGGAGAGTAGGGTGGGCACAGTCATTTGTGGGTTTCAGGTCCCATGAGGCAGGGCTGGGCAAGCAAGTGGGCAGTCTTGTGACTAGGCTGGATCTGTTCACACTGGCCTATCTGATGGCACGTCCTTGGAGATGGGGATGAGGCACCTTGGTTTCTGGGGAGACCACATTAGTAGGAAGGTAGGGCAGGGGCTGGTTCAGGAGGCTCTCCTTCCTCTTCTGAAACATCTGGCACAAGCGGGGTGGATTTGTCTGTTGGTGGACTTCTCAGCACCTCCCCAACATTGAGCTCAGCACTCTCCTCCCATTCCTCCTCCTCTCTGATCAGTCCTGCCAAGAGGTCTCCCTGGGAGTCATGACACTGGGGTCTGCTTTCGTTATGGAAAGAGAGTGACCAGTCATAAGGACATTTTATAAGCATATGCTTTACATAACATATAGTTTGACTCTTAGTGTTCATGTGTGTCCACTTATAAGAATGTTAATTAACCTCACGATACAGCTTTTTAAAACGCATCTCCTACTGCTCAGAGATTTAACTTCTAGATAGGCTTGAGGAAGGGCTGAAAGCTCAAGGGAAGCCATTGTCATGCCTGTGTCTCACGAAACATGAAAAGAAATATCCACAAAGTCTCCCTGGAAGGCAAACAGTGGTGACAGAGCGTGGGGAGGTTTACTAGCAGCAACCCCTGGAAAATGGGAACAGTTGGTGCATATGAATAAAAGTCTCATAACAAGTTCTGAGAGAAGAAAAGTGCATAGCAATTAAAATGAGAAATGGCTTGAGCTAGAAGCAAGATATGCATATTTGCAATGTGTATAGGAGGGGGAAAAACACAAGACTTGGCAACTAAGCTGAATCTCAGAGACGGAGAAGGAAGAATTCATAGATAAAATGAAGGGTTTTTGGATGAATGGCAATGTGTGTGATAATGATATCTGAAAAGATGGAGAGTGAACACGTACGGAGAGGCGGCTAGCATGAGAATATCATGCTGAACGTGAGACAGATATCAGTGTTCTGTCTATGA